GTATCATAGTTTTATTTAAAATTTATTTTTCGAGCTTTTTGTGGTGCAAAATTATCTATTAAATTGTCATAATTAATTTTATTTGACATTTATTTTTCAATAGATAATAAAGCCAATCCATTTTATTTTGTTGAGACATGATTGATCTTAAATAATTTTTTCTTATTTTTAATTTTAAAAAACTCCTTTCAGTTGAAATAACCGATACTTGGAATTGTTAACATTATTCTATAAGCTATATATGTATTTGGAAAATAATTTATTCTTTTTATATAATTAAGAATGTTAATTGGTTTGTCATTTTCCAATCTTATAATTTCCTTTAAGATATATAATTCTGAAAATAAATCTAATCTATTAAGATCCAACAAATTATCATGTTTCAAAGATTTTTCAAGGTTTAAGCATTTTTCTTTCAAAAGTATATAGTATAGTGATTTTAATTTTTTAACACTAAATAAAAAACCAAAATTATCTTCATATATTTTAAATTGTTCAAATCCACTTTGAAGCATGGTAATTGTTTTATCTACAATGTACAAAAAGTAATCAATTCTAAATGATTCTTGAAAAGATTTTACAATTTTATTATCAACATTTTCATCAAATTGTTTCTTTCTACGACTAATACGTTTTTCACAAAACTTAGGCTCTATATCCATTTCAAAAGCAATTTCCTTAGCAGTAAATCAATGCATTTTCAAATTTATTTTCTCTGTACTTTTCCAAAAAAAAAAAAAAAAGCTTCATCAATGCACATATCTTTTGATTGTAAATTCTTACTACCTCAGTTAACTGCAAATAAAATGTCATACAAAATATTCATGTCTAACAAAAATTCAAAATTTTGTAATTCATAAGTTGTTAAACAATCAACTTCACTTTTTATTTTAGGATCATCACTAGCTTCAGCTAATTCAAATAAAACATCTCTTATTTGTAAAGTTTGAAATCTTACAACTTTCACGCTTTCAATTCGGCTTTCCCAACATGCTTGTAACAACGATTTAAGAGTTAAGTTATGTATATGGTCTTGTAAATTTTTCCATCTTTTCGTAGAAGAAGAAAATAAAGTATATATACGTTGTAACACACTAAAAAAAGATGTAGCTTTAGGACAAGAGTTAATCATATCACAAAGTACTAAGTTTAAACTATGACAACCACAAGGAGTATAAAATGCTCTAGGATTAATATCAAGAAATATTTTTTGCACACCCTGATGTTTTCCTTTCATATTAGATCCATTATCATATCTTATCCTTTTGTTAATATCAAGTCCAACAATTTTTAATTCATCTATAATAACATCCTAATGTACAACAAGTTTTAAAGTTTAGATTTTTACCTGATATTATACACTGTCGCACTGAAAATAAAGAAATGTCAAATAGCTCCTTGTTTGAGTTGCAGTGAAATCGAAACATACACAAGCAGAACGCCATCAACCAACACAAGTACACAATATATAAAAGATGACTCAAATGAAAAATTGAAAATATTAAGTCATTAACTAATATGTGTATGTGTATGTATCAAACACTCAAACTGAGTAATCTACAAAATAAAAAGAATGAATAGATGAGAAGATAATAATTAAAATTAATTAGTAAAAGAATAGTGATAAAAAAAAAACTTTTGGACTTCTTTAACTATTAATATTAATTAACCAATTTTTTTAATTATGATTTATTAAAAAAATAGTTAAAAATAATATTAATATTAAAAAAATATTTGGGACGCTTTTTTTAGGAACCTAAAACAAGGCTTTAATTGCTTTGGCTTGAGGCAGCCCTGCACAGGTGGCTTTTATTATTCAATTGTTTTACGTGAAATGTGCTTTATATTCCTTAACCTCGATGCTTTGTTTTTATTTGTTTCATACAGTGAAATATTAGGGAATGTGAGAGAAAAATAATGAGACTAATGTGAGTGTTGAATTTCACACTTTTTATATTGTTTCTCACTCTCATCATAATGAATTCTTATAAATTAAATTATTTTTTTCTTCTAAAAAATATAAATTGTTTTTTTATATATTCATTGCTAATTTTTTTCATTAAACTTAATGTATCATAATACATCACATCTATAAAATCAATCATATTCATATGATCGGGTCATAATAACATGTCACAAGAATAAATAAAATATTTTTAAGAAATTCATATTTTTAAATATAAATAAATGTTAATTATTTTATTTTATTTAATAGATTTTAGTTACATTATTATTATTATTATTATTATTATTATTATTATTATTATATATATATATATATTTTTATTTTTAAAATCATGACATTTTAGGATGAATATTAAAAATAAATACACTTAACTACTTTCATATATTTTTTTAAGTGGGTTTTTTTCTCTTATATATGGGAAGAGAGGTAGCAATATTTGTAAATATTAAAATTAAAAATAATACATTTATAGGAGCTAAAAGCAAAAAATAACATTTGTTAGAAAAAAAATGCTATATTGAGAAAATATATTTAAACATCATGTTAGGGTTCTACTTGGATCATTCTCATTAGGACTTCTATAAAAACAAATGAGCAAAAATGAAATTAATTTTGGTATAAATTAAAATTATAAAAAAATTAATATAATTTTTATCCATATTTTTTCTCCTAAATATTCTTATGAAAATTTTCATTATGAACCTATCTAAAAGTTAACTAATAATAGAATAAATAACTTTTAAAAAATTATTAATAGAATTAATTTTGTTATAATAATATTTTCAACTATTTTTTATTTGAGATGAATTGGCTAAGAAGCTTAAAATTCACATTTAAAAATATCTTTTTAATATTTAAGATTTAAAATATATTTTTATATTATTTTTTAGAAAAAAAAATTATAAAGGATAATAAAATTAATTAGCACGACTAATCTATCAACTCGTTTAAGTTAAATTAATAGTTTTAGTTTAGTATTAAAAAAACAGATAATCGGATTAACCAATCTTTTAATATATATATATTTAAATAAAAAAATTACAATTTAAAAATTATATTTTTATAATATATTATAATTTTAAATTTTTAATTATAAATATTAATAAATTAAATTTAAATTATATATTATAATTAAATTAACATATTGAGTGAATCATAATACTAGTCGATAAACCTGTATGCTAAGTTAAAAGGTTAAAAGGTGTAGTTGGCATAATCATGATAAATCAAACAAGACTGATATTATATTCATTTTGTCTCCATTTTATTGAATTATATTTCGTACATCATGACAATAAAAACAAAATATTATTTTTTGAATGATATAACTACAATCACACATGTCAATTCTCATGGTTAAAAAATACAATAAATAAGTGTGAATAAACCTTAATTAAGAACTTAACTAATAATATTTAAATTTAATATATTATTAATAATTCCTGTCATAGACATTTGTCAAAATCTGATAAGAGAAGCATTGGACGAAAAGGGACTGATGTAACTCAACGTGGATTCATACTTGAGTTGGGCCTTGTATTCAGCCCAAAACAAGGTCACATTCAAATACCATATCTTTATAAAGATTAAGATAACACTAACATTTGCTAATAATATATGATTATCCACATTTTTTTAAGTTGGTTTTTTTCTCTTATATATGAGAAGAGAGGTAGAAAGTGTTATATAGTATTCCCACTCATGTCATGATTTATCAATAGTTTATGTTATGAATAAATGATATTATATTCGTTCTATCTCCATTTTATACAATTATATTAAAAAAGTATAGAATTCCAACCTCTACAATGCAAAAAAATTAAGAAATTAATTAATAATATTTAAATGATATTTTAAGGGAGATGTATATTTTAAAAAATAAAATAAAAAATCTATAGGTATTTATAAATACCTACATATATTTTGAAATAAATATAGAAAGAGTAATGAATTGATTTGCTTTTTTACGATAATGGTGTGATTTGATTTATTTATTTTTGTCGATTTTAGTGAGAGAAAAAAGAAGGTGTAATTTAGAAATAAAAGGATTAATTCCCTGTACGGTGGTGGGTAAGGTCAACCCAAGATTAGTATCGTGCTAACCCCCAGACGGTTCGGTTTGATCATTCATGTACTTTCCCCAAGGTGTGATTTTTGTAAACTTATTATTAATCATTATTATGTTAATAAACAAAGTTGTTGGATGAATATGTAATAAAGAGAGTTGTAAATTTATTTATTTTCTAAAATGTATTTGTATTAATTTTTTTTATCGCTTTATTAGGTCCTTGAAAATCAAGAGATGAAATTAAAAATAATTTACTATATTAATTTTTTTTATTGTATGAATAAGTTTAAGTAACTAATATTATGTTTTTCTAATAATTTTAGAGAAAGATAGTTAAATAATATTTTAAGATAAATTCATTCAGAATTTTAAACTCGTGAAAAAAATGGAAATTTGTATTCATACATTGCGTATACAAAGACTATAATCATTTCATTTATGGTACATGCTTACTGTTAGTATTATGGTGCTTGATTTAGTCCCACATCGATTAGGATTGTGAGATGAGATTCTCTATTTTGTTATATAAGCAACCCTATGTAAAGTTTGAGATACACACAGAAATAAAAATACTTCCTAGTGTAGTCGTGGACGTAGGCATACATATTTTAACCGAACCACGTTAAAATTCTTGTGTCGTTTATTTTTCTCTCCTTTATTCTTTCCTTTATTATTGTCTTGTTCCTAACACTTACTACATCAATATACTTACGACATGCTTAATTAACATTCATATTCATCAAAAGCATTAAACCACACTTGTTTGTAAATCTCATTTGTAACAAATTGATCATCAGCGTCCGTCCCAAACAATAACTATGCAATAATTTATAATTAGAGAGGTCCAGGGTGCAGCAACTGTGGGTGGAATCTGCAGGAAGAATATTTAAGTGTTGACACACCACTTTACTCCTAGTAGCTAAACTAACCAAACTCCAAATCTCAAAGCTCAAACCACACCAAATTATGGCAAACTCAGAAGAGAAGAAACATGTTGCAGTGTTTGCTTTCCCCTTTGGAAGCCACCCTACTACTCTCTTGAACCTGGTGCTGAAGCTAGCCAATGCTGCTCCCAACGTGCAATTCTCATTTATAGGCACTGATCACTCCAACAAACCTCTTCTCATCTCAAAACCCCATATCCCGGACAACATCAAGTTCTATAGTATAAGCGATGGAATCCCAGAGGGTCATGTCCCAGGTGGCCACCCAGTTGAGCGAGTGGACCTTTTTCTTAAGGCTTGTCCGGAGAACTTGCAAAAGGGCATAGACATGGCAGTGACAGACACAAAAGAGAGAGTTACTTGTGTTTATGGCTGATGCTTTTGTCACACCTTCTCTCATTGTGGCTCATCGCTTGAACGTTCCGTGGGTTCCAGTTTGGGTTCCTTTCTCATGTTCACTCTCTGCACATATTTACACTGATTTGCTACGCCACAAGTGTAACCATGCAACTGGAGACACCCTTTTGGATTTCATTCCTGGATTGTCTAAGATGCGAGTTGAAGACTTGCCTGAAGATGTGGTCAACATTGTCGAAGAGGAGACACTGTTTTCAAAGACACTAGCATCTTTGGGAAGTGTGTTACCTCAAGCTAAGGCGGTGGTTATGCATTTCTTTGAGGAACTAGACCCACCCTTGTTTGTTCATGACATGAGGTCAAAGCTTAATTGTTTTCTTTACGTTGGTTTTCTCACCATTTCACTGCCTCTGCCACCCTTGCCTCCATCAGACACAGATGGAACTGGGTGTTTGTCATGGTTGGACAAGCAGAAGGGTGGGTCAGTGGCATATGTTAGCTTTGGGACAGTGGTGACACCACCTCCGCATGAGATTGTGGCGGTGGCGGAAGCATTGGAAGCCAGTGGTTTTCCCTTCTTGTGGTCTCTCAAGGACCATCTCAAGGGTCTTCTGCCAGGAGGGTTTCTTGAGAGGACAAGAGGAAATGGAAAAGTTGTGGCTTGGGCCCCTCAGGTTCAGGTTTTGGGACACGCTTCTGTGGGAGTGTTTGTGACTCACTCTGGATGTAACTCAGTGCTTGAGAGCATGTCCAATGAAGTGCCTATGATATGCAGACCCTTCTTTGGGGACCACGGGTTTGCTGGGAGGATGGTTGAGGATGTTTGGGAGATTGGCATGAGAGTGGAAGGTAGGGTGTTCAACAAAGATGGGTTGCTGAAATGCTTGAGGCTGATTCTGGTGGAGGAAGAGGGGAAGAGGATGAGGACAAATGCAGAGAAATTGAAGAGAAAATTGCTAGATGCAGGTGGACCACAAGGGAAGGCAGCACAAGATTTCAACACTTTGGTGGAAGTGGTTTCCAAATCTTAGACCGTGTTCAGTTGTCACTGATTGGTGTTGTCGCGATTGGTATGTTCACGAGATATTTGATATTGTAGCAAAATAAGGTTGATGCAACTGTAATTGCAGTAGCCTTCAGATTGCAGTTATAACCATGCAAGTGAATTTAGTGTTTTTTTTTTCCTCTTGTTCTGTGTGTGGTCAGTGAATTTGAGTTGTGTGGTGAAGAATAAGATAAATATCTCATCTTTCATGATGGGAGCAGTTTACCAGAAATAAAAAAATAGGGAGATAGTTGGATGAGGATTCCACCAGTCAAGTAAGAAGGAAATTTAAATTTCACCTGTTTTTCAGTTATTTTTCAATCTCTTTATTTTTTTTTTTTACTGTTTTCAATCACTTAAAAGACCAATAGAATATAAGAAAATATTTCAATCTTGGAGTGCCTCGGGGATAAGTTTTTATATTCTCTCAGAAAGAAAACTTTGTTTCTAGAGTGTATCACAAGCATTCAATTCATATAATTAATCAACAAAATATCAAACAAATTTAGATGAATTTTTTAATTATAATTATATTTTTCAATAAAAGTGCAATACAAATGTTAAGGATAGTGATTAAATGATAACTAATTATATAATAGATAATCAATTGACAATTAAATATAATGACAACTAAATATGTTAAGATAACAATATTTTATTAATATAATGATATATTTAATTGTCAATTTATATTAATCTGTATATATTTACAAAACAGCATTTTAGGTGCTCTTTTTACATCTTAGTTTAATTTTTAAATAATTATTCAGAAAAAAAGTCAGGAACACATTTTCTCTTGGCTGCTACTTTTATTAATTATAATTTTTTAAGATTCTGTGAATGGAAAACAAATTTACACATTTGTGAATCTTAAAAACAATAATTAATAAATAATGAAAAAAAATGAATTTGGATTATATTTCAGATTGTCAATCCGGTTTAGTGTTGATAATATTAATTAGGAAGATACAAGTTGTTTTAATAATTACATATAAATAATAATAAAACATTTGATAGATACTATTTTGTATAACATGTATAATATTTATAATAAACTTATTTATATTAAAATAATATAACTTAATCTAAGTTTAATATTTTTTATTCTATGATTTAACCATACATAAAATTAAAATGAATATACTGCATTAAAATGTAATTAAACTGTGAAATTAACATGATTTTGCCTCTTTTATTTTAAGCCTAGATGAAATCGAATTAAAACTTAAATAAACGACACGTATCAAAATTTTGGACCATAGGCAAAGTTTAATGTGATTTAAGTTTATGTAACCTAACTCTTTTTCATTGCGTTTAAAATTGAATTACCTAAAAGTAAAACTGACAAATAAATCGAGAGCTGATAATTTGTTTTTTTTTTTAGATTTATTGGATTGAAAAATCTAAAAAAATGAAGTGGGCACATACTGTGTCTCAGTCTGAATTTGGAGAATCCTCTGGCCTGTATGGCCTTCTTCACCAGAAGCCTTTTGACCACTGTGACCCCCACATGTTCTTCCCCTTCCCACCAGATCAAAACGTTCCTCTCAGAGGGTCTTTATCACCACATACTTCAACTTTTCACTCAACTCCATCTCTCTGCCCACTCTTCCATTCCCTTTGTTCTTCCAGCAGTCATCAAGGCAAGCTCCTCAGCCAAATGTCATGCTTTTGGCACACAGCTTCATTGCTTGGCTCTTAAGACAGGCTCTAACTCTGAAGCAGTTGTGTCCAATTCTATCATCACCATGTACGCCAAGTTTTCAGATGTTGAATCAGCACGGCAAGTGTTTGACACAATGTCTCAAAGAGACCCCATCAGCTGGAACTCCTTGATTAATGGTTATCTGCAAAATGGGTGTTTCGAAGAAGCTTTGGAAGCGTTGAGAGATGTGTACTTGCTTGGTCTTGTTCCCAAGCCTGAGTTGCTAGCTAGTGTGGTATCCATGTGTGCGAGGAAAACTGGTTCAAGGATGATAGGGAGACAGATTCATGCTCTTGTTGTTGTTGATGAGAGGATAGGACGGTCAGTGTTTCTGTCAACGGCTTTTGTGGATTTTTATTTTAGGTGTGATGATTCTTTGATGGCTTTGCGTGTGTTTGAGGGGATGGAGGTGAAAAATGAGGTTTCATGGACTGCTATGATATCTGGATGCATTGCTAACCAAGATTACGACAAGTCTTTTGCATGTTTTCGAGCAATGCAGGCTGAGGGAGTTTGCCCAAACAGAGTGACATCAATTGCTCTGTTACCAGCTTGTGCCAAGCCAGGCTTTGTTAAGCATGGGAAGGAGATTCACGGTTATGCATTTCGTCATGGGTTTGAATCATGCCCTAGTTTTTCATCAGCACTTATAAATATGTATGGTCAATGTGGAGAACCACTGCACCTTGCGGAGCTAATTTTTGAAAGGTCTTGTTGTAGAGATGTGGTGTTATGGAGTTCGGTCATTGGGAGCTATTCTCGAAGAGGGGATAGCTACAAAGCATTGGAGCTTTTTAATAAGATGAGAACTGAGGAAACTGAACCAAACTACGTAACTTTGTTGGCAGTGGTCTCTGCCTGCACAGATATATCTTCACTAAAGCATGGTTGTGGACTCCATGGCTATGTCTTTAAATGTGGATTTAGTTTTAGCATCTCTGTGGGAAATGCACTTATAAACATGTATGCCAAGTGTGGTTCTTTGGATGGTTCTCAGAAGATATTCCTAGAAATGCGGAACAGAGATTCTGTTACATGGTGTAGTTTGATCAATGCCTATGGCCTTCATGGGTGTGGTAAACAAGCTTTACAACTTTTTTACAAAATGAATGAGAGAGGGGTGAAACCTGATGCAATCACCTTCCTTGCACTTTTATCTGCTTGTAATCATGCTGGCCTTGTAGCTGAGGGACAACAGATATTCAAACAAGTAAAGGAAGATTGTCAAATTTCGGTAACTATTGAGCATTATGCATGCCTAGTCGATCTTCTTGGAAGGTCAGGCAAGCTTGAAGATGCTTTGGAAATACTGAGAACAATGCCCATGAAACCAAGTGCAAGAGTATGGAGCTCTCTAGTATCAGCCTGTAAGCTTCACGGCAGACTGGACATAGCAGAAATGCTAGCACCACATCTTATACGATCAGAACCAAATAACGCTAGTAATTACACATTGCTGAATACGATATATTCGGAACATGGTCATTGGCTTGATACAGAACAAGTGAGGGAAGCCATGAAACTACAAAGGTTGATGAAATGCTACGGGTTCAGCCGCATTGAGGCTGGAGATGAGAGTTTCTAGCATAGCAGAATGTACAGCTTTATACAAGAGCGGAAAAAAATATATTTACATGATTATGGATAACAATATATTGTGACTTAGTCTATATTCTTAACAAATATCACCTTTATTTTTTCTGCAAAAACACACATGTTAAACAAGTCTTCCAGGTGGATTTGTTGAAAGAAGCAAAACAAGCTCACAGGTCTGACATAATAATTTGACAACTTGATAGGACTCTCTACAAAAGTTTACTCACAGTACACCCAAGACATTACAAGGAACAGAAAGAATCGACACATGTTCAAATATATAGTAGCCTGTTAGGGAAAATTATGAATGAAAATCTATACATTGTCCAGGTATATACAGCTGTCTCCATAAAGAGGTGGGTGGGGGAGAGGATAGCAAAAAACAATTGATAGCCTCTAAGCAAAGGACATTTCAAGAGTTGCTTCGTCACCATGTAACGAATCAGTCCATTGTTTGACAACATCTTAATCTAGTGTAAAATTGAATTTCAGCTATGCCTGCAGAAAGTTTTACAGAATTGAGAATAGGCTCACGCTCTAATGCACATCAGGTTGCAAATAAAGCAAGGTTTCAATAGATTTTTTTTTTTACCATCAAAGTTGAAATCACCAACAAAAGATGGCCAGGAGCTAATAAATAAAGGGCAATGAAACAGAGGTTGGGACATGTATGCCAACCTGATTCAGATCATATTCAACAACTCATTAGAAATAGCAAATAGACCAAAGAGTTTAAAGTAAAAATTATCTCAAACAGCTTTGCATAACTTTGTATGGGTATCAAAAATTGCCTAATCTCTAAAAATTTTGTCTGAAATATAATTAACAAAAAGGCAATATGCGTAGGACGTTCTACATCATGGAAAAAAATTACAGCAATAATGAGAAATAATTATTTGAGAATCTTCCAACGGTGTACAATAAGTAATGAAAGGGAATGTGAAAACAAGACAAATCACCGATTAGCATGCAAACATGGACCTGGATTTTCGATGGGGGATATCGACTAACAACTTTATCTGACTTCAAAGTTTAGCAGAAAGGCAACAGTAACTAATTACCCGTCCAACTCAACCTCAGTCTGGAATTTTCTTGCCGCTGCATTAGAAGTTGTAAAAATGGATGCCCCATTACCATATCTATAGAATGACAAACAATTAGGTACTGCAGATAAGGTAGTAATATTTTTTTGGGTGTGTGTATGTTTACGTATATGTTTATGCATTTGTTTATGTATATGTATACAAAGCTCAAGAGAAGCTACAATTGTAGCACTTGTTGGTGTTGGTGTTGATGTTGTTTATGGCCTCTAGTATGCTTTCAATCTGGGCATACAAAATATCAAAATTTAACATTTTTATAACAGATTCGCAATTCATTCAATACAAGAACAAAGGCTTCAGTAACAACCTCCATACACCGAAGAACTGACCCAAGAATCTCCTCACTAAGAAATCAAGATGAAAATCAATCGGGAATTTATTACACGGCAGCTAAACTTTTATCATTGACAACCCACGAGGTACCAGAATCCAATGCTGAGAACCTAATTAAAATTACCTTGTAGCATTCCATTGCAAAAGTGACATCTGACAAGATGGTAGGAGCAATGGAGTTTCCATCTTCATATCTTGGAACCTAACAAACAAAATAATGCATCTGAAGTAAATGCCAATTATCTGAAACTGATTTCAGCTTCATTCTATGGGTTGTATGCCTTTTTGCCAAACCTAGTCTTCCTCCTATAGTGAGACTTCACCCCCCTCAATATATGGAACAAGGACAAATATTGTCACGATGAAATATATGGAAGCACAGAGAATTCAGGGGAGGGTTGCACTGCCTGCACAATGGTTCAATTATTACAGCAAGATAATTGTTTCTCACAGCAGACTTGTGATCTCAGTGAATTTGAAGTTCCTGACTGCGACATTTGAAAGCCATCAACCTGTAAGTGTAATGCTGGGAATATAAATAGAGCTAATTCTTATCATATTATATTCCAAAAAGTCTTCTTGTCAATGATTAAGACCTTGTATAGGATAATTCATATGTTAATACTCAATGGGTTGTTGAGTGCTTCAATATCAGTACATTTTCCATCTACAAATTTTTTATTTTAATGTTTGGATAATGGCTCAGTGTTACTGGTAATAGTTGTCAGGTATCTTGCTTCTCATTGAATATAATTATTGTATACCAAATTAACTTTAGTCTTTACTCTGGTGGGATGAAATCGAGTCCTAAGAGGAGCCAAGAAAAGTGAAGCCGTAGGTTTTATTATGCTGTTCTACTTGTTTACCCTAAGGTTACTTTCACCCAAGGTAGCCCTATTTTTTGATAAACAAACCTTCCCTGACGGTTTGACTCATATAGCTCAAGAATGTCCTTAATATAATCCATAACTCAGTAAAAATATAAACCATGTTTGATTCTCTAGCTGTTAAACTAACACCCATTAAGTTGTAGATGTTCCAAATTGATGCATTGTTGTAATCCATGGAGCTTCAAATGAAGATAAAACATTGAAAACAACTATTTAAAAACATGTAATCAATCAACAAGTGTACCATACCATTCGTGTTTCCTTGTCTAAGCTTAGCTTTAACATTATAATACTTCTAAAAAATATTATAAACCCTTTAAAGTAATTATTATCTATTTATCTTAAAAACTAATGTTAGCATAAAGAAATAGTAATTTCTTTTTTCTGAATTTTAACTTCAACTTTAAGTATTAACAAAAAAGTCAACCTTAATGGATAAACTCGTCGTTTAAACATTTGATTAACACGATTTTTTCCATAGAATAACACGATTTCTATAAAGTAAAAGTTTCCATGTAATTTACATTAACATTATTAATGAAAAATTTAATAGTATCACTTTAGTTTTTAAAGGGAAAAAAGTTTAACAAAAGAAGCTGGCGTTAACTTTGATAAATAAACATGTGCTTTTATATATTTCTTCTTAATATTTTTTATATAAAATGCATAGTTTATAAATTTAATTGTTGAATTATAAGATAAATAATTTGATTGTTAAATTTTTAGATAAATTGATATATAATCTCACACCTAATATTAGTTATACTTTGGAAAATATAAGTTATAGTTTGAAAAATATATGATATGTGTTTTAAGCCAAGACTAACGTAAAAAAGTAACTTAAGCAACTTATAAAAAAAAAACGGTTTTTAGTTATATTTCTTGTGAGTGAGATTTTTGATAAAATGTTATATTTCATTACTATCTATACCCTCTCTTTTTATTCTCCATCGGACATTTTTCTTTTAACTTTTTTTTTTTACACAAACATATTTGTTTTAACTAATATAATAGAAATATGTTTCCTCCACTTAAAAAAAAAAAAAAAAGACAATGATAAATACATTCAGAAATATGACGAGAATTTGGTCTAAGTTTTGTTTTAGGGGGAGCAATTACAGTTACATCGGTATTACCTCAATCACGCGCAGTTTTTCGTTAATGTGACCCTCTTAACGATCACTAAAATATCTTGAATCGTATTGTCGCTTTACACAGGCATCTATGGTTATTTTATCTTTTCACAATATGGCAAAATAAACTATTTTCAGTCTTCAAAAGTGCATCTCTTGCATCATATCTGTTTCTAATGATAATACCTGAAGATTGAAATGCCATTAAATCGATAAAAAATGTCACACTCGAATGAAAGCTTCCTATATCCGCTTGTGACATTAACCGACAAACCCCACTTGACACTAGCACTGGCCCATCTGATTCAACCAATCTCCAGGACCACTGAACTAGGTTGTTTGATTCCTCATTTATGAGAGTCCTAACCCTACAGTCATTCAATGAAACTAGCTGCTTGTATATTTTTCTAGATATTTTTAACCAAATATTTTCTAACAAACCAGACACAGAATCAACAATCAAGATGGTAAAGAAGTGCAATAAAACCAAATAAAAACCAGGTCACGAGAAAGGGTCAGATACTTGCAACATGAAGTGTGCATCATGAAATTCACTCTCACTAACACACACACACACAGAGGCAAACTTTGTACAGCAAACCTGAACCAACTTTGAACCTATATTCCTGTGTAGCTATTTCATCAACACTGTTAATCAAAACATGTGGATAAAACAAACAGCAAAGAAATATAAAAATGAAAATTTACATTTGAAAGGCAAAAAAAGACATTTTTGTTCCATTGAGCAACCATGTCCATGTGCATCATGCGGACTTACAAGTGCTGTGGTGTGTGTGAGGGAGAGGGAGATTGTGAAGAAGCAGCATCTACATCATCATATTCAACAGAGAAATTCAAGTACCCGCTACCACTATCGACATCATCATCACGAACACGATCAACTTCATCATCACGATCACGACCAACACCATCTTCAGGATGAAAATCAACATCGCTGGCTGTGCCTTGTTCAGTTTCATGTTCATTTTCTGGTTCATATTCTTGCACCTGTACCTGTTCCTGATCCTGTTCCTGAAGCTGCTTCTGAATCTCGTATTCATTGATGTAGTCTCTCAGCCTCTCCCTCAAAACCCCTAACTGCCGTTCGAGAAGGTTCTTCTGCGACTCCACCTGCTCCACCGTCCACTGGAGCGACTCAATCACTTCGAGATCGTACTCCTGCTTCTGCTCCACCACCCTCCGGAACTGCTTCGCCTGAATCTCCACCGCGCTCTTCTCGCTCTGCAGCCTCAGGATCATCGCCATCGCCTCCTCCGCCGCGGACGCCGCTGCCCCCCGCTCCTTCTCAATCTCCGCACACGCCGCATTGAACCGCTGCCTCTCCGCCTTCACTAGGCTCCTGAGCGACATTATATCGAACACCTCGTCCTCCAAATTCTCCTCCCTCCAATTACTACCACTAATATTATTATTTTCTGTTTCCTCCTTCAAATTCTCGTCTCTGGACGATTTCTCGTCCTTGGAGAGGAGCGGAGAACGTAGAAAGCGGAGACAACAGAGGAAGATTAATAAGAGTCCGAGGAGGTTGAAGATGCGTGAAACATAACCTAGGAGGAGAAACCCGCAACCGAGTTCAGTGAGTTGGGTGAGGAAGTTGAAGGTGGAAGGGATATCCATGAGCATGAGGAGAAGGAATCGGAGAGAGAAGCGGAGGAACCTGTGGTAGAATCCAAGAACAGGAGCCACCAACAAACCCAGAGTCTGCATCTGCGTCTGGGTTGGGTTGGGTGAAGCTAACAGATTTTGACACAACACCCAATCTTAGCGTGAAAGGGATTATGCAATAACACGCACCCCCCCAATCCAATCCAATCCAATCCAATCCCAACCCAAGGAAGGGAATGAAAATATTAAAAAAAAAAAAACACAAAAAATGAAAGCTTTGGGATTAGGATTGGGATTGGGATTGCGACGGGAAGAGAAAGTGAAAGAGGGTTGTTATGGGTGGCAGAAAGAGAAGGTGTAGGGTTGGGTGGCGTTACAAGGGTAGAAGGAGAAGTGGCATCACTCTTGTAAGCGCGGAGAGAGACGGAGTAACGTAGTTATGTATGAAGAAGAAAGAAGAAGAAACAAAGAATTGAGATTTTGGATCTGAGCGAGAACCGAAGAAATAGAGTTTCGGTTATGCTCACGTTACTAAGACCATTTCAGACATCCATTTTCCCATTACCGTTACACTTCTTCTATCATTCATTTTTCATTCTTCTCTTTTTCTATTATTATTTATATCTACATAATCATTCTTTAATCACTCATCTAACAACATATTCACACAATTACCCGCATAATAATTAATTAGTACCACTCTGCCAGTGACCGTTGCCTCTATATTCATGTCTTTTTATTTTCCTATTTAAGGCAAAATAATTAAGTTTATTCATTCTTTTATTTGGTCCCATTTTTCTATTTTAGGTCCACTATCATGTCTTTATCTTAACTTTTCTGTGAAAATTAAATTACTATGCATCAACTTTGTTGATAAATTAATTTACTTTATAAGTTTTTAATTTATGTTTTATTTATATTTTTTCATGACAAAATAACTTTTTTTTTCTATGTACCAAAATAAGTAAACAATATATATAACTTTAGTATTATTCTATGCTTAATGTTTATCTTTAAATTTTTCTATATAAGATAAACAATTAAGCACCAACGATGATAATAAATTAATATACTTAATAAGTTACTAATTTAAAATTTTATATACAAACTTTTTGTATAAATTAAAAAATGTAAAAAAAAATAAGAAGTTGAAAGGGTTTTATGATTATTCTATACACCAAGTGGATAATTAACATTTACCTTCAATTTTTCTATAAAAATAAATAATTATGCACCTGATCTGATAATAAATTTTCTTCCAGAAGAAATATGATAATAAATTAATCTACTTTATAATTATTAATTGATATTTTTTTCTATGACAAAATAGCTTGCCTTCGTTTTCTTCTATTGATGAAAATGCGTAAAATTTCGGAAAGTGTTTAATATAATTATATGCACTGAGTAGATGGCTAATGAGGTAAAATTAGAAAAAAATTAATATAATAAATTACTTTGTACAATGTAATAAAACATTTTTTTCAATAAATATTTTATTGCATTTCATACCAAAATGAATAAAAATAAAAAGGATAAATTTTCTATCATATATATAGAGATGGTGTTATTATTTAAGTTTAGTTATATTTTTTATTTTTATTGTATGTGAATAATATGTCGATTTATATAATTAAGTGTGATCGATGTCATAATTAATATTATACTTTTATTCATACCGTGTCAATGACAAATAAATAAATAAATAATATTATGTCATTTTTCAATATCCCCATTAACAAAACATGTTAAATATTTAACAGAGGATCAATGAAACCTTTAAAATCAGATAATGATAGTATTTAAAATACTAAAACTCTGGTTAATTTTTACATATTTAATTTATAAAATAAAAATATAAAATTTAAATAGATGAGTAGATGTGATTAATAAATTTAAAAACGCTTTTTTAGGATATTTTAAATATTTAGGAGAATATTCATGTGAAAAAAATATATGAAAATTGATTAATTATGTTAATAATTTTGTATTTTAAAAATACAACTTGGTAATTTTTAATTCAAAATAAAAAACCATATTTTAAAACTGTTATCAAACATAGATATTATAAAATTAAATGAAAAATAATTAAGGACAGAACTTTTTTCTATTATCAATGACTAAAAAAGAGAGTTGTCAATATTAAAGAAAATGAAAATAAAAAAACGGTTTATTCTTAGTTATTTATAAAATTAAATTATATTATTCTTGTGGGCTGCATCTCATGAGATAATTAAGTTAATATTATTATTATTATTATTATTAATTTTAAAATTTATTTCTATGGCTTTATATGAAAGTTTTTAATAAAAAAAATTTACAGTCTATTTTTAATAAATATCTATTTAACAATTTTATTATTAATAAAATAATAATTTTAAATTTATTTTATTTTAAATCAATCATCATATAAATATAATATTAATAAATAAGATAAGGTTATATAAAAGTTGTTATTAAAATTACTTAAAAATAGAAATAAAAATTTTATTATGGATTTTATATCTAAATTATTTAAAAATAAAAAAATTATTTAAAATTAAAAAAAATTATTTAAAATTAAAAAAAATTATTTAAAATTAAAAAAAATTACTTATAATCAATTTAATTATAAGACTCATAATAAATATTTAATTTTATTTTTAAATAACTTTGATTAAAAATTCCTTTAATCACTTTTTATTATAATATTGATAAGTTAACAATCGCATTATCTCATTCCCATTTGTGAGTTGTGATGCCCAATCGGGGATACCGATAGGAATGATGGTTTCAAATATTTGTGTCACTTGAATTGTGGACATTGTGGTCAGAGAATTGGTTACGTCACAAAATATTCAGTGCCATGCCACGAGAAAATGAATTCTTTCTAGGTTAGATCCTATCAACAATGTTTATAAAAATGTCAGATACTAGATAAACCCTAACTCCATCTACAGCTCCTGTTGGAAATTGGAATATGCACATGACGACCGTATCAAGACAAGATATCATCATTCTTTACGTGTTTTCAGAGTTTCTGCAACTATTTGCAGATATTATTTTCAGTGCAAGTAATCAATCTCTTGGACCAAAAAACACGTTAGGTTCAAGATTTGAAGTAAAAAACACTAGTTTTGATGTAACAAGCACTTCCACGTCCAAAGTCGAGCTGAAAGCCACGAGCAAAGAGTATGTATCTCAAATAATATCCTTTTGCTAAGAAGCCAAACTCAATGCACTTGGGAGTAATGTTCTTTCACTCTGACATTATCCTTATATCCTGTAAAGATTATATACTTAATTGCATGTGCTAGAATTGTAGCTAATCTGTGCATCATGTACTCTCCATCCTTAATACTAAATCATTCTGCAGTGGACTCAAGATAGTTTTCATATCGATACCTACATAGTCATATTGATTCCAAAAGGTGTCAAACTCCACTGCCACAAGTGGATGCTCATATATATGATTTGAATCAGCCATTTTTTGACCACTCACAAGGTCTGTACCAGATCCATCTGTGAGGCAGGAGGTGGAAAGTTGGGGCTAGCAAGAAAGAAAGTGATGCCATGTCTAATATGAGTTTTGTTTGGTTGATTAACAATATATGAGAAATTGGAAGTGAAGTCTGTGAGTTCTCGAGTCCCTGTCCTAAAAATGCAGTGGCTTGTAACATGTGACCCTGCCAACACTGTCTTAAATTGTGTATGAGTTGGAGGTATCCCTTGTCATAATAAACATCACCTTCAAATTTCAAGGTACCTTCCTTGTTGAGAAACGGCTGAAAGCTCAAGTGTAAAGGATCTGCATGAGGGATCAAGAAAGACAAAGTGTTATGGTATTGGTATGTGGCCATGGTTGAGGATGTTGCATTCACTGATTCAGGGAACTAAATGGCATAGCGTAGTTACCTTGCACTTAAAAAATTCCAAACTTTGGGTGGTTAATGGATTTGGAGGTTTAGTTTGTAAAGTTAAATGTATTACTAATATTATTGAAATTTGATGATGGTTTCGTTAAACATCATTTTCTTGCTGTTGTTTGAATGTCTTCATTAAATTGATTTGAATAAGATAAACTATTAACTTCACTCTTATTTTCTCAATTAATTGATTTGGAAGTCTAAATATACTACTAATTTGCATTACACATACATGTGCATGCATGCATGCGAGGTCTTTGATTCAAAGTTACTTACATGATTACATCTTTCTTCCAGAATAAAAACGTTGTCATCAGTCAAAAGAAGAAAAATATTTCTGAAACTTCTCTTATACTTCTACGTTTTTGGTTGGCACTGTGGTAGTAAGGATCAACTAATAAATTGCATGATCTTTTCTTTTCTCACATGATTGTTAATCCCATCATTCATGACTTATATGTTATTTTTAAAATATCAATCTGTTTATGTGTCAAATCGGTAATAGAAATCAAACAATATCAGTTTATTTATTAAGTTGCACAAATATTTTAGAATGTAATGAGTTGCACAAATTCTGCTCTTTATTTCTTCTTCTTTTCTCTGTTTCTACAACACAACTTTACAAAAGTACGTAATCACAAGAACACAAGTATGCATCCATACGCAAATGCAAAAAGTTTACATGATCTTTACACATAACTGTAGAATTGGAAACTTTTCAGTTCTCCATCAGTGTAACTCGCCTGTAGATTGTTGCTTATGCTGTACTAGTATTGAGATGTCAGTACCAAACTTAAACATGAACATTCTAATAACTTTATGTACACCAAATTCCCCTATTGTTTACATTGTATTTGGTTCTAACATGTAGCCGGAGAGGGGAGAAGAAATTGATGCAAATATTGTAGTCATTGTTGGAGAATGGTAATTTGGCTCATACAATTTTTGTGGGAGAACTGGTAAAGGAGTTTCAAACTTAAGCACTTGAATCACTTGTCTTACAGATGGCCTGGATGTATGATCTGGATTGGCACACCAAAGGCCAACAATCACTAACTGTTTCATTTGTTCCTCATCAAATGCTCCCCCAAGCTTTGTGTCTACTACTTCAAGTAACTTTCCAAATCTATGGAGCTCCAAAACCCACTCAAATATGGTTATCTGACCTTCCTTGGCACTAAGGTCAATTGGTTTTCTTCCAGTGGCTAACTCCAATAAAACAACCCCAAAACTGTATATATCAGATTCCTTCCTAGCCTTCCCTGTAGTGAAGTATTCAGGGGCTATGTAGCCCCTTGTCCCTGCTAGAATTGTGGTTTGTGATCCTTTGTCATGATCAACCAGCCTAGCTAAGCCAAAATCCCCAAGCTTAGCATTGAAACTCGAGTCCAACATAATGTTGCTGGATTTAATGTCCCTATGAAGCACACACTGCTCCCATTCTTCATGGAGGTACAAAACTGCCAGAGCCAAGTCCATGGCAATGTTGTACCTCATCTGCCATGTCAAAATGCTTTTTCCACGATATAGGTGGGAATCTAAGCTACCATTTTCCATGAACTCAGATATAAGGAGGAGATCTTTCTTCATGTGGCACCAACCAATTAATTGTACTAAATTCCTGTGCCTTAATTTGCTGATGATCTTAACTTCACTTGCATATTCCTTTTCTCCTTGTTTAGATTCTCTTGATATCCTCTTTACAGCAACGTTAGAGTTCAAGTCTTTCAAATAGCCTTTGTACACACCACCAAAACCACCTTGTCCAATCTTTTGTGACTCTGCGAAGTTATTTGTTGCACTTACCAATTCTTTATAGCAAAATCTTTTGGGTCCAATGCCCTTTCGGAATTCCTCATCCATGCTCAGATCAAGAATTGAATCTTCTTTTTTCCCTTTAGCCCTTCTCTTCCACATTAAAATACAAACCAACCCTAAAATAAGGAAACCTGCAGCTATACCTACCCCAACTTCTAGTTCCATCGATAAACCTTTGTTTCCCTCTTTTTTAGGGCTGATCTTAGGAGTGGAAATTGGTGAAGGACTAGGATTTGGAGTTGGTGAGGCTGCAATTGGAGGTATCTTATTTGACCCATTCTCATTACTTAGCAAAGTTGAATGGAATGACCATGACTGCAGTGTGTTCAACTCAAACATTACTCCTGTAGCAGCTGAGAAGCCAAAAATAACCCACTCTGGTAGGTAATATCTCAAATCAACATTGCATGAGATATAACTTTTAATTGGCTTGCCATTGAATTTGTTTCCAGTGAAAGAAACATTTAAATTATGAGTACTTGCATTGTACTCAATTACACAATAATAAACTTTCATTTGCCTAATATCAATGGGCCATGGAACAGTTTTGTTAGATCTCATAGAGTTTAAGTTTATACCTACATGAGTGTCAGGTGGATCCCAAGAATTTTGGTGCGTGTCAAACTCCACTGCTACAAATGGATATTTAGTTGACTTGTATAATTGGTTACCATCCACAAGACCAAGACCACCTCCTTGTTGTATTTTATTGGAAAGTGGCAGCTCTGGATCTGCAAAGAAAAAAGCCAAGCCATCTCCAAAAGCAGTCTCATTTGAGAAAATGACAAAGGAAAATTGGGTAGTGAAGTCGGTGAGTTTTCCGGTGCTCATGTCCCAAAGGTGCAATCTCTCAAAACTTGTGACTCTCCCTACACTGTAAGCATTGGTTTGGTACCTTGTGGTTGCAGTGAGTTGGATCTCTGAATGTGTCAAAGTAGCATCTCCTTCAATCCTGGCATCATTATACTCAAATCCATGGTGACGAAATGAAAGTGGGTTTGCAAAACTAATCATAAGAAGCAAGAACATCATTTCCACTGCATAACAGAGTACATAGTTGGTTGCATGGAGACCAACATGGCAAGGAGCCATCTCTCTGTGAGAGTTGATTTTGAAACCTTTCTTGGCTATAGTAATCATACAACACTTTGATTTTCTTATTTATGTAACCTAGACAATGATTTTATTCGTTGTTTTTTATGAGTTTTGGATTTATATAATTGTCTTGTACTTGTGCTTAAGCTAACCTTGCAATATAGTAAGGTTCAGGACCCTCTTGTTGAACCTCCAACGAAGCTTAGAGTTCAATTGTTTCAATTAAAATCAAATTGACCCGGTCACACTCACAGGACCCATACCCACCACCATACCATACGATTTGAAGTCCAAACTGCTAGGCCTGCTGAGTATACCATTTCAGATGATGAAATGTAATGAATTTACTTTTTATGTCCTTTGACACATGTTTCTTTGTAGCATCACCTTAGGCTAGCTTGTTTTATTTTATGAAATTGGCACAATATTGTACAGTATCATTAACATTTTGCTATCAGAAAGATAAAATGCATCACATTTTCTCTATATGGAGGTTACTTCTTGACCAAACTCGGGACATAATATATTTTTTATCTCAAAATGAACTTTAGCAGAAAAGGAGGAAGGTCAGGGGCTGAAAAAGACATTATAGATAGGACGAAGGTTCCATGAATACCCCTTTATAAATAAAAAACACTCCATAAAAAAAATATGCTATTTTGACGCTTACAAATGATGTGAGAAATAATTTTATGTTAATATAAACCTTTAAATATAATTTATGTGAAATAAATTTGTAATTTAATTGAGAGTTTTGAAATTATTGAAGCATATATATTTAATATAAGGTACAAAGCTCCCTTTATATATTTCAGTTTTCATTATGTCACAAATTTCTTTCCCTGTCGAGAGACATGACAAATGCTAAACTCCAAAGAGAATTTTTTTTTTTTAAACCGAAGAGAAGCTATCCTTACAGCAGTGAAGGTGACACAAATTTTGATTGAAAATGTGGTTTGAAATATTGGTTAAAATAATAGTTTATATAATATGGATAACAAGGTGTAAACGAAAGACATTAGTCCAAATTGAATGAAATGCAATCATATTCAACATATTTTTTTATTATATAAATATATATAAAAGAGGAAATTCACAATACTTACTCTTTATATTTAATGATTATTATTTTTATCTCGGGTTGGATGAATTTGATAAGGAATTTAAAGACTGATTATGTATTTGATGGGCGAATTAGTTTAAATGAAATTTTAATACTCTTATTTTAGCTCAAGTATCAACTGTAATTAATTATTTTATTTTTTATGTAGATAACAAACATTATGATTCTTATATTGTTTTTAATATTTTCTAATTTTATTTTATCTATAATTCAAAATCCCTAAACTCTATTATCATATAGTTTAATAAATATATTATTAGATAATACTCATATAATTATATAATTATGATATAGTTTATTACAATTCAACCTGTTCAGTATATTATTAATTAGTACTTTCAGTTACCAAATAAATTTTAAAACTTGGTTTGAACTACATGGATATCCCAACGTTAAAGAATATTAAGTTAAGAAAAACAAAAAGTATTAAAAACATGGCGGTAAGTAAACGTAATTTTGTGAAGGAAAAAAACAGCTTTTTTTTAAGCAAAAACAGGAAAGATTGAACCTTATAATAAATTGCATACTTTAATAATAACCTTAAGCTCTTTGAAGAAGAAAAAAATATAAAAGATCAAAATTATTTTTAAGTTTTTTTTTTTCAATTTATCGTGTCTCTGAAAAAACTATTCTTTCCTAAAAACCATTATAAATGAATTATATCTTTTAAAACGTCAATTCTATGTTATCTTTATAGGGATTAATTACTATGGATTGAACTTTTTTCTGAAAATTATGTTGAATTAAAATTCTTAGATAGGCCCAACAGCAAACAGTTTAAGAACCGAAAAGGCCCAACCCAGTTGCTAAAACCCTTGCTACAACTTTTTCTCCGCGCTAAAACCTAAAACGCTCCCGTCGTGACTCTCAGCCACCACCGTCGCGTTCAATTCCCAGGTTGGCCATTAACGAGGTATTTCTTTATTCTCGTGAATTTTTTCCATTTAAGCTTCCTCGTATTCCTTTACGTGTTTGATTTTACCAATCATAGCATGACCTAATTGTAATTGTTTTTTTGTTTCATATGAATTTCTTTGCTGTTTCGCTAATTCCGTTCTTTGTTTCGTATTTTATTTCATGATTCCAATTCCTTAATGTCAAATTGGTTGAACTTTAGTTACCCTTGCAGGTTGGTTTGATTGTGAAAGATGAGTTTGATATCCCAAAATGCTCTCACTAAAAACGAGGTTAATAAGAACAAGAGGGAGGTTGAAGATGATGTCGAGAATAATGATACTCTGAAAGTGAGGAAGAGGAAGAAAAATAACGAGGGGGAACAATTGGCTGTGGAACAAGTGAAAGAGATGAAGAAACTTGAGAGCTTTTTATTTGGTTCTCTCTATTCCCCTGTTGAGTTTGGAAAGGAGGACCAAGAAGTGGAGCCCGGGAAGGCTGCTGAAAAGGTTTCGGATTTGTTCTTTACTGACCGTTCTGCAGATAGTGTTCTCTCTGTTTACCAGGAAGAAAATGCTGACTTGTCTGACGAAAGTCATGGTCATGATGATGAGCGTGCTTTGCAAAGGAAACCTGTGTGGGTGGATGATGAAGAAGAAAAAGCCACTGTAAACATAGCCAAGGTTAACAGGTTGAGGAAGTTGAGGAAAGGAGAGGATGAGGATTTGATTTCGGGTTCGGAGTACGTGTCAAGATTGAGGGCTCAGCATGTTAAGCTCAACCCAGGAACAGAATGGGCACGGGCTGATTCAAAAATGGATAGAGGTTCCGATGATGATGAGACGGATGATGAAAACGAAGCTGTTGTGAGCCGAGGTTTTGAGGATTTGGATGATGTTCTCAAGACTAATGAAGACCTGGTTGTGAAGAATGGCACAAAATTGTTGCCGGGGCATCTTGAATACTCAAGGCTTGTCGATGCAAATAGACAGGATCCTGCTAATGGGCCCATAAATTCAGTTCAGTTCCATCAGAATGCACAGCTGTTTCTTACAGCTGGATTGGACCGGAAACTTAGATTTTTTCAAATTGATGGCAAGCGAAATACTAAAATTCAGACCATCTTCCTTGAAGATTGCCCCATTAGGAAAGCTGCTTTCTTGCCAGATGGATCTCAGGTTATTGCATCCGGAAGAAGAAGTTTTTTTTATAGTTTTGATTTAGTTAAGGCTAGGGTTGACAGAATAGGTCCGCTGGTTGGTAGGGAGGAGAAGAGTTTGGAGAATTTTGAGGTGTCTCCTGATTCTCAATTGATAGCATTTACAGGTAATGAAGGTTATATTTTATTGGTTTCAACAAAAACAAAGCAATTAGTTGGTACTCTAAAGATGAATGGAACAATCCGTTCATTAGCTTTTGCTGAGCATGGACAGCAGTTGTTGAGTGGTGGTGGTGATGGCCACGTTTACCACTGGGATCTGAGAACAAGAACTTGCATGCATAAAGGTGTAGATGAAGGATGCTTAAACAGCACAGCTCTCTGTACTTCACCAAGTGGGACTCATTTTGCAGCTGGTTCAGACAGTGGAATTGTGAATATTTACAATAGAGAGGAATTTCTTGGGGGCAAGAGAAAGCCTATCAAGACCATAGAGAATTTGACTACGAAAGTGGATTTTATGAGATTTAGTCATGACTCTCAAATATTAGCAATCTGCTCAGGCATGAAGAAGAGCAGCCTAAAATTAATACATATCCCATCCTATACTGTGTTCTCTAACTGGCCACCGCCTAACAGGAGCTTGTATTATCCCCGCTGTATTGATTTTAGTCCAGGTGGTGGTTTCATGGCTGTGGGAAACGCTTCAGGCAAAGTGTTATTATATAAGTTGCATCATTACCAGCATGCCTAAGGTAGACTTAGAATACTGGCAGGTTTTGAGAGGTCTTGGTGTATTTTTATTTGTTGGAATTTTTGAGACTTGATTTGTATTTTATCAATATTAATCAATGAAGCTTCAAGTGGTTCTTCTTCATAGTTAGAAATTACCATGCTTCATGTATTTTTTCATCAAATATATTGGGATTTAGCTGTCCATTTCTTTTCAATTTTTTTTTTGAATAATCTTCATTTAATCTATTTGTAATTCTTTAAAAGAGTGATTATTTTGACATACATGGGCATAGGTTGATATGCTTATTCTTCATTCATATCGTTTACTGTAATTGTAACTTGCGGCGGGGGCGGTTCAATTTATGGGACTGAATGCCCATCTCCGCTTTGTAATACTGATACTCGGTTTCGATTTGCACCTGAGATTTTTTTTGTTACTGAATTATCGGTTTTCGGCTTTTGTCATCATTTTCTTGTTAGTTTCTTCAGAAAGGAAAATTTGTCGATAATGCAAAATCTCAAGGAATTGTTAGATTTATCAGCAAAAAAAGGAATATTGGAACCAAGATTAAACTAGTTGTTTCCATACGAGCTATTGTTGTTATAGTGTGGGATATTGAAATCGTTCAATCTAGCCTTGATTAAATTACAGACCTTTTAAGTATTTAAGCTAGATTTGTTATCTATTTCATCATCCTCCCAATAATGGTAAAGGGCCAAATATACCACGGATCCAGTCAGTATGACCCAGGCACAACAAAAAGGATATCTTGATACCATATTATAAGTGAACTGGCTTCAGAGAAATGAGACATTGATTAAAATGCTTATGATACTAGTAAAAATGTTACCCCAAGCAGTTATCAATAATTAAAGCTGCAGGTGACATAGGACGTTTACATAACAGATATAGAAAAAGAAAACATAAGAAATACACAATTCAACTAAATTAACCAGATAACCCAAAGATTCATGGTTATCAAAGTGATTCATTTTTCAATTTTTTAAGTTTGATTTATTTATTTATTTATTTTGTTCACCATTATAGTTCTCGAGTCTGTGACAAAAACATTTACACTTAGTTTGATTACGTAGAAGATAAGTTAGAGAAGAGAGAAAAGAAAATAATGGAGAAAATGGAGTTTGGGTAGTGTAGAAATGTGATAAAATTTGAGTAAATCCCGTGTTTAAAGATTTCTTTTATTGCATTTGATCATAAGTGTGAGGAAAGAGGAGCTCACAATTGAGTTATTTATTATCCATGTGCACACCTATGAAGAGAACTTGTGTCTTATTGTCAATTGTATAGTTAACATTGTTCAATCAATCTTAACTAATGTCTACCATATTGATTATTGTGTTTTAAATTGACCAAAAAATATATGAAAAAAAATCAAAATAAGTTAGAAGCATTTATGTAATTCGTTAAAAATTACGCCGAGGAACTTCTTAAAAAAAATTCTTCAATTTAAAGAACAAGAATAATCTTGTTAATGGAGATTTAAGGAACTTCTTAGAAAATGTCCCGCATTTGACAATTACTTGAACACTATTTGACTCTGTTAACGGTGGTTGCTTCCCAATACAAAAATGTTGATGAAGATACTATTTGTGGGGATTCTACCATTTGTAGCTTCTTGATGGGACTGTGAAATAATTGATGTCGCGTTAAAAAATAATAATCGTGCACAATTTGAAGGGTAGCTACAATCTTATAATGAGCCAACAAAACAATACATCCTTCCTTGTGCAGACTTACATGACTTTTATTATTAATTAATAAAAGCATCATAAATATTACTTATAAACTAAGTCAACCATCACTATAAATAAAGGAAAATTCCACATTTTATTTATACATCGCGTACACGATTGGAAACCATTCATGTGTATGAAAATAAATATGAAAACTAAGCATCGTTACCTATCGAATAAGGTGAACTCCGATGATTGTCCGGTTTTGAAAGCAACTTAATTTTCTTTTAGGGAGTTCTCAATATCTATTACAAACCTGTATTTGACGTCTCTATTTATAAGCCTCTCAAGAGCTTCATTGGCATACTCGATCGGAATCACCTCTATATGAGGGTGAATACCCTTTGCAGCACAGAAGTCAATCATCTCTTGTGTATCTTTTGTACCACCTGTAATGCTCCCCGCAACAATCTTCGATCCTGTCAAACAGAAGATGCATATTTATATGCAGTTCTACTGCTTCAATGTATTGAATTACACGAACGAAAACTGTTAATTTCAACAAACCTATGCCTCAAATGCAACATACCTATATTAAGGCTTGCAGGGCTGAATTTGACTTCACTAGGGAAACCAACTAGGACAAAAACACCATATGTCTTCAAAAGTGACATGTAAGGATCAAATGGGTGATCACCAGATGCTGTGTCGATTATAAAGTCCAACGATTTAGCCAACGCCTGCATGGGAATCACCATCAATTTTGTTGACAAAGAAGCATGAGGGTATGCCAATATTAGTGTTCTATTCATTGTCTGAAAATATTATAGTAGATGCTTCTATGTTATGCTTACCCTCATTTCCTCTTGATTAGATGAAACAACAAATTTGTCTGCACCAAGAAGGCTCAGTGCCTCTACTTTCTTGGATATGCTAGTGCTGAAAACTGTTACACTCAAACCAAATGCCTTTCCAAATTTCACTGCCATATGACCAAGGCCACCAAGACCAATCACCCCTAGAGATTTTCCAGGTTGATTCATGTTGTGGCGCACCATCGGAGAATAAACAGTAATTCCAGCACAAAGTAAAGGAGCTGCTGAAGCCAATGGGTAGCCTTTTGGTATCGTGAAGCAGTACCTGCAGATGCAAAACTAAATATGATATGAACCAGAAGTATAATCTGTCGTTAGTATGAAATAAAACGTACATATAGAGCTTATGATAAAATTCAGGAACAGAAAACCTTATAAAACTCACAATTAGCATCTAGCCATCGGTTAAGTTTACCTCTCATGGACTACTATGTAGCTTGCGTATCCTCCTTTTGTTATTGTACCATCAACATCAACACCATTAAAAGTGAAAACTGCTCCCTTGGAACAAGAAACTTCTTGTTTTTCGTTACAATACTCACAATCCCTACACGAGTTGACATAAGTCCCCACTCCAACATGGTCACCAACATTGAAACGGTGGACATTAGAGCCAACCTTTGTCACAACTCCAGCAATCTCATGACTGTATGAAAAAAAGAATCATAGGCAATTAGGTAAAGTATATAGGATTCTCAACTTCTCATCCATACACAAAAAGAGGCATGCATACCCAGGCACAACAGGATACTTTGAGTCACCGTGTTTATTCCTTGTCCAAACTACATCAGCGTAGCAAACACCGCAGTGTGTAATTTTAATATGGACATCATCATTCCCAAGACTCCTGAACAATCACATTATCATAAGAAAAAGGTCAGAAACTCAACTTTTATATCAAGACAACACAAAAATGATAACAAAAAAGATATACATGAAGAAACTGATATCAGTATGTAGCATCCAACCAGGAACTGCAACAACTAGTAACTTTTGGAAATAGGGTTGCCATGAAAAAAGAATATGATAACTTGCAAAAAGCAGATACTCCACCAGTTCATTCTATAAAGGGTATATGAGAGGAACATACCTGCGATTGAATTTGTAAGGTGAAAGAACTCCGGATGCATCTCTTGCTGCCCATCCGAGGCAATGTTCACCATCACCTTTGGAACTCATAATTTTTCTACTTCTCCACAACGCAATTAACTATCAGTTTACTTTTCATGAAACTAACATGAGAAAGTTCAGCAAGAACTTACAGGTTACTATCCTCATGTAATTTCTAACAAAGCAGAGAAGTCAAGGATAGATAGAACATGCCACATGCCACAAAAATGGAAAATTGTTGGTGGATTGATGCTTGTAATTTCAGGAAAAATGTTACCACAAGTAATCAATATTAAATCATGAAAATAGTATATGCCATAATTATTTCATGCTTGCAAGTGCTAAGACCAAGGCTCCCACAGGCTGAGTTGACCATAACGGAAATAAAAAGAAGGCAAAGAATTATCTAATTCATTAGCTAAATTAACCAGATCACCTAAAGATCCATCAACAGAGGAACATATTAACCCTTTTCTTCAATTCAACAAATGGTAGCCACATCGGGATATACGAAATCCTAATCCTAAACAGAGATGGCGGAAATTGACTAGAACTTAACTATATAACAAATAGCTTTGTAAATTGTAATAGTTCAATGAAAATGGTTATTAGTGCGAAGAGTCAGAAAGAGAGTAACCTGCGTTGCGTTGAGTAAGGATTCACGAAACGAAGGGAATGAAGAAGAAAGAGAATCGGATTTTATATTTTTTGACTATTTTGTAAAATAAATAGCCCTTTTAAATATTTGTGGTGTTTCTTCGAACCATTATATCTGCCATCATATATTATTCATTTAAGGCAATTGAACGAAAGTTCAAAGATTCCTTCCACATTCAGATTTTCTTAATTCATATTAACATAAAAAGTAAACTAACCAAAACTAAACTCTAAACTCAATAATACAAATATTTAAAATTTGAAATATTTTCAAAGTCATGTGCTACGTAACAGTGACATCCCTTCTCATTTTAAAATAATGTTGTTAGTTTGAAGTATTTATATGTTTTATTAGTTACTCATCTTTGTCAAAGGTATTGATTTATAAAATAAGATGAAATTTAATCAAAATTGAAGAAAAAAAAAAATCCCTTGTTCATATATTGTAAATTATTTTGGACAGTGAATGAATTAAAAATCATCATAGATATAATATTTAAATTAACTATTGCAATATTTACTAATTTAATTATATATATATATATATATATATATATAACAATTTATAATAAATTAAAATTCATTTACATTATCAGTATATCTAATTTAAATCTAAATAAAAAAGTTTGTCATGAATAAAAAGTATAGTCATGATACGTTGTTAACTCCATTTGTGCAAGAAAATAAATTCACCCTTGAACTTTGGAGTAATTATTTTTTTATTTACAAATAATATATATTGATATATTAAGTTTTGTTAGAAAAAAATATATCAAACTCATGAAATTTCCCTTTTCATTTGTACTCACAAACCAACCTTTATATCCCTTTGAGTATTATTATTTGTTACAATAAATAATTTGAATCTATTTTGGTTTATCAATTACTATGAACCCGGGAATTTATGTTAAATATATTTTTGCATCCCTGTCAGGTTAAGTATTTCACCATTATTAACAAGGAGAAACCTGTGGACAGTGTTATGGGGATAGATAAATACATCGACATAACTTCTTAACTTATTTATTTTTCTCTTACTCCTATGACCCTCACGAATTATATAATCACAAATTTAAAAACAAAAATAATTCAGAAAAATGCTATAAAGAAAGAGAATATACAATGCATAATTATTTATTAGTTGTTCAAATAATTTTTCAGTAAACTTTACATTACACTTTAGGTTTAAATTTGTTTATTGTTTCTTTCAATAATAATCAAAATTTCTTAATCAAACATCAAAACATTTTTTTCTTAATATTTTGTTATAACATTATATATAACTATGTCATGCTGTATTTGTTCATTTTACAAAGTAAAAGGAAAAAACTTAATGTGTGTGAATCTTGTTTATACTTTTTTATATATGCTGCGTACAAATAAAACTAGAGTTTTATTTTGAAAACATGTGTAAATCTTCTATACAAACCTATTAAAATTATTAGATAAAATGTTGAATTTTAATTTGAAAATCCACCTAAAAAATAAAGACTCAAAATATTGTTCCCCTTAGTCCTAGCTATCACTACAAAAAAAAAGCCTATTACCTACGGTAAAAATTCGTAGGTAATGGCAAAAATCCGTAGGTAATGTCATTTTACCTACGGATTTTTTTCCGTAGAAAATCTGTAGGTAATATGGTCGTAGGTAATTACCTACGGAATTACTATCCGTAGGTAATGTCGTCCGTAGGTAATTACCTACGGATTGCAATCCGTAGGTAATTACCCACGAACAGAATCCGTAGGTAATTACCTACGGATTGCAATCCGTAGATAATTACCTCATTCAAAATCCGTATGTAAATCCGTAGGAAAATCACTAGGTAAATTTATACAATTTTATCACCACCAATTTAACTAAATTTTACCTGTTACATGCATATTACACATAAAATATTTAGATATCAAATTTAACAATATTCCATAATATTTATATGCACCAAATGCATATTCAGATATCAAACACAAATCATAATATTAGCATGCATCAAGTAGTCCTTGAAATATCTAAGAACATACAAATCCAAAGAAGTACTATAATAAATATTATGACAATATTGTTTGAGTGTCCTAATAATTATAGTAATGTCCTTGTTCATCTTGAGGTCGCTCTACTGAAAGTCTGGTTGATTTTGTGATTGTTGTTGCTTGCTCCTCGTTGTGATTGTTGTTGTGATCCTTGTTGGGAATGTTGTTGTTGAAATGCTTGTGGGCATCAGGTGGAAGTAAAGGAAGGACAACACCGACAAGTGTTTGTAATTGGTGGTTCAATCTTTCATTATCCTCCCTATAACTAAGCACTTGTTTCTTTAATTGTGTAATCTCACGAGAATCGGTAGATGCTCGAATATGAGAGGGTATCTCCAGGCCTAAACTTATGGGCAAGTTCTCCAACACCGTAGATCCGACCCTTTTTGTTGCTAGATGCAGCAAGAATCCAAATTTCAGTCCTTATTCTCTCCTCCTCTATAGGATCTAATGGAGATGACTCGGTTTCAACGACGACAGGATGCTCGCCTCGGATCTAGCCCGAGAGTATCTTCTCCGAAATTCTTCCTATTCACATACAAATAAAAATTATGTACGATATACAACACATATCCATCATAACATATAAGAGAGTAATAGAGTAATATTAAATAAGTTCACAACTCACATGAGTTTTTCTAGACCTTTCATCAACAAATTCACCATTAACCTTTCGTATATGAGTCTGTTTGAACACCTCATCAATATGTGCAGGACGACCCAACTCCTTTTCTTGGAAAAAAAATTAATTAATAACATATCATGAAGAAATGAAAGAAAGAAACTTTTGTTATAATTTCATATTTACCATTCGAATGGCGTGTTCATGCATACTAATAGAACCACCGTGTGTAAACTACCACCCGTCTCGGAAGATCGATTCTTCCGAGCTTGTGCACACTTTGCACGATAATCAATTGAGTTCCGAGTTGTTCAACAGAGTTTTCCACACATCATCAAACATCCAATAGGGCTTTTAACCTGTCCTTCTAGCATCTTTGAACATTTCGGATAGCCTATGTGAGGCCTTTGAGTGAAAATTCTTTCGAATCCTATCCTCATCTTCGGTCTCCAGGTGACCTTTCTCTTTGCAAATGATTTACACAAAAAAACAAATAATAATAATTGTGTCAATGAATGTAAGTAATAAAAAATAATTCATCAGCCTAAATATAAGAAAACTTACTTTAAATCGTTGAAAGAATGTCTCTTTTTCAACATCGGTCATTGAACCCCATGTCGACCATGGCTTAGAATATTGTTGCTTAATAGTCATTGTTATAGCTTGTGATGCAACCCGACATGGATGAAACCTTCTCCAAATAATTAAATTAAATAATAATCACAATTTCCTAATACTTGCAAATAATGGGAATGATATAATTTTAACTTCATTCTTACCCTAGACCATAAGGTGATATGATAGGAAGATTAGTGCCAAGTGGATGATCCTCCTCAATGTTTGATTGTGCATCACCTTCCTGAATATGCACTTCTTGGTCTTCCCCAGCTGGTGTATGACGGACTCTAGAAGGCACTGATAATGGTGATAGTGCTGGAGACCTTGAGGGTAATGTAGGTGAGACCAAAGGTAGTGGTGATGGTACTGATGATACTGAAGGCAATGTAGCTCCTGGGGAAGGTGCTGATGCAATGGCAGGTGATGGACTAGGGTTGGGTGCATCAACTGGGGATGGGGCAGAAGTGGCTGTAGGTGCAATATTGTTTGTATGGGCATGTATATTCTCAGCACCTGCAGATGAAGAAAGTATAGGTGCAGGAGCTACGGGTGGAGGAGGGACAGATTTTATGGATGGACAGTTCACTAGCTGCCACTGAATGCACCAAAGTCCAACAATGGCTAGCTTCTTCGCAATTTTAGCGTCACCTTCATCCTCAACATTGATGTGTATGTCTCCATCAACCAGGTTATGGATCCAATCTGGGTACAGAACATGGAAATTTTGTGCGGATGACATATCTACATTCTTCCTTCCTCCAACCATTTCTAACAGCAACATTCCGTAACTGTAAATATCAGACTTATAGGACACATTTCCGAAGTTCCTGGAGAAAACTTCAGGTGCAATGTATCCCAAGGTTCCTCTAGCAGCTGTCATGGACACCAAACTACGATTCTTGGAACACAATTTGGCTAAGCCAAAATCAGAAATCTTTGGAGTGATTTGGTTCATTTCAATGTAGTATTCCCATTTTTAGAGTGCAGTACAGCCATGTCAGAAATTAATTAACAAGAACAATTTTTTATCCTGTTGCTCAAGCTGACTTCTAATATACTTTTTGAAGTAACAATAACCCAATAAATTGTGCAAAGCAGTTTTTTATATGCTGTTTGCTCTTCAAACAGCTGAAAGGTTGGCTGCTCATTCCTTCTCACCCATACGCTCTAAATTATGTGTCGCAATAAGAAAAAAAAATCACTCATAATTGGATTGAACTGATAAATTGATCTACATATATCTCATACCAATTGCGCAAAATGACTTTTTTATTCCACTGCTTAACATTATCCTATTCCCAGTTTAGCATTATTGAAGAAAAAGTTAGGTGATTGTTCTGTCATAAGATAATGAACATTGTGTTGTATATTATGTATGATGTGTATATCTTCCATTTGTTATGTATGATTGTTCTGTCATAAGTTAGGTGATTGTATACAACGTAGCCAGTTCCACAGCAACTACAAAAATGTCACTTAACAATCAGATAGTACTTGAAGGTACAGTATATTTCTCCCTCTCTAAAATAGGTTCATGTAAACAGAAAGTAATTGAACTAGTTTTTCTAACTGTTGAACACACAACGGTATGATAACAAGAGCTAAGTTAAAGCATTCCATGGTACAGAACAATTAAACAGAAAAGTAAAAACCAATGCACCCCAACTCGAGAAGACACATTTACAAATTAGGTCTTCAAGAAAGAGGATTTTCTATCGAGAAGCACACAAGATTCACAAAAAAATATATAACAAAATTCAAATTGTCCCGTAAAATTTCATTGTACATGCTTAATGTTCTAACAACTAACATGGGGATTAACCGTGTTCACATATATGATGTAATATTTTTACAAACAGTAATCTACTTACTCATCAATAATTAAGTCAGAATGACACATAACTAAATGCATGGGTCAATTAATCTAAGCATAACAGGAATATGGAGGAGAGGGGCCATGGAGGCATGTTAAGTAGCATGATTTGTTCACAAGCACACATGGAAACAATTACATTCATCAGTTAAACAACCATATCCATAAAAAATATTTTATCAACTTACAGATACGCTAAAGAAATTCAAAATATCCAACAAACTGACAAAGTTGAGTTTATTTAAATTTGACTCCAATCACCCACCAGAGTTGAAGGCATATCAGGGTATTCATGAGTATCCACTTCCCTTCCCTTTATTTTCTAACTTATGACCTAATCTTCCATTCTCAACCACTGAGAATATTCAACTGCGAACGAAACTGGTGGAGAAGTTTGGTTTCCATTCTTTTTGAAAATATAAGCAAGCAATATGCATTTACCCAGCAACGTTTTACTATGAAAAGTTCCATCAAAATGTTCATCTTGTCCGAACCTAGGATTGATCTTCCAATCATTTTAACTTGGCCTTTTCACATTAACTTAATCATTAGCTAACTTACTACGGTGTGCAGTTATAAGAATTTTTCAACAGCAGTTTGAAGCAGATGGTTTGATGAATTAGGAAAACAAAATATCTTCATCATAACAAATTCATACTTTTTCAACATTGATGATTCTTAATCAGCAACATACTAATAGAACATTATGAAAATATTATCTTCATCATAACAAATTCATACTGAATCAGCTTACATAATGTAAGTTTTACTGCTAAAACTAATCCTAAATGGATTTTATATGGCCATAATGTAAGTTTTTTGGGGTCATGATTATGAAGCATTTGTAAGGTGGAAACACATTCTTAACTCACCCACCAAGAAACTAAGTCACAGAGACATGAACCAAGCCAATAGGACTTGGATAACACCAGATCTCAACCTCATCAAGTGAAAACCACAGATTCAAGCCAAACTAAACGAAATAACGGTACAAAAAACCTTAATAAACCAAGATCTTATTCAACTAACAGAGCCACCAATTCAATGATTCATATGCAAATAAACCAGACCCGGGCTTAATAGTTAACTAAGCAGAACAGTTCAGACTCCAAAAAATGTGAAAGAAATAGGATTAAAGCATAATACCAGGCTTAACTCGCTGCCTCTATATCTCACATCTAGCTCACAGCGAGCTCAGTGGCACAATGGGGGTGGGTTGGAGCGAGGAGAGGCGGTGACCGCAGCTGGCGTCGAGGTGACTCAAGTTCCAGGCTGCAGGGATGTTGCGCGACAGGGGGTGTGGTGGCGTCCTGACCTGGAGGTTGATTTGCGGCTGGGTTCGCGGTGGCCGGCTATGGGCAGTGGTGCGCGGTGATTTGGGGCGAAGGGAGAGATTCAACACAGGAGGGAAGTGGAGCAGAGTGGAGACGTTAGTGGTGAGGAATGGGGGTTGGGACGCTCGATGGTGGTGGTTGTCGTGGATGACGAGGGGCTTTGGTGGAGGTTGGATTAGGGTGAGGCCGCGACTGCGACTTGGCCTTGCGGTGGCTCGACGAAGGGGACGACGACCTCATAGTGGCGGTGCATCGTGAAGATGGTGGTGGAGGCCGCGAAGACGGGGTTTCTGCGAAAAGGGGGGTCCGCGGTCGTGAGATGTGGTGGTTCTGATAAGGGTGATTGGGTGAGAATCTGGAGGCTGAAAGCTAAGATGTGGTGCGACTGCGGGGTGGTTCTGCGTTGGTGAGAAGCTTTGGTGAGTGAAGGTGGAATTAGGGCACGGGTATGGTTGTGGTGGTGACGGGGAAGAAGCCTGGTGGTGACGGGTACATGGGTTCAAATGAGGATACCGTGTGGGGTGCTCGAGAGTGGGGAGGCTGCAGCTAGGGTTCTGGTGAAGGAGGTGGGTGGCGGGTTATAGAGGAGGTTAGTGAAATTGAGGGAGACGAAGGAAGGAGTTAGGGAGCTTGAGTGAGGCGCGGAGGAAGTGTAGCGAGGGTTTTTTCTTTTTTTCTTTTTTTTTTATTTAACATCCGTAGGTAAATGAGTAGGTAAAGTAGTAAAAAAACATTACCTACCTCCTACATCCGTAGGTAATGCATAATCATCCCGTCCGTAGGTAAATTCCGTAGGTAATAGATAATTTATATACGAACATACTTTTGTAGGTAAAATCCGTAGGTAATGTAAAATTTACCTACGGATTTTTACCCGTAGGTAATATTCCGTAGGTAATAGGCTTTTTTTCTTGTAGTGTATAAATGTGGTTTGTGACCCCTTCTCATGATCCACCAACCTAGCCAAACCAAAATCACCAAGCGTATAGCATTGAAACTTGAATCTAACATAACGTTGCTTGATTTGATGTCTCTATGAAAAACACATTCTTTCCACTCTTCTCGTAGGTATAGCAATGCTGAAGCCAATCCTAGAGCTATGTTACTGCTGGCCATGTTCCCACCATATAAATGGAAATCTAAGTTTCCATTTGGCTGAGTTATTATACAAGATCATTTTTTCGATGGCACCAACCAAATTTTTGTGCCTCAACTGGCTAATGATCTTAACTTCAGTTGCATATTCCTTAACCTCTGCTTAAACTCTCTTGATAGCAAAGTACGAGTTTAAATCCTTCAGAAAACCTTTATACACGCCACACCACCTTGTTGAAGCTTCTCTGACTCTGAAAATTCACTTGTTGTACTTTCCTGTTTATTTTTATATCAAAGTCTAAGACTTCTCCCTTTTCTTTAATCCTTTTCCATATCAGAAAAACCACCAAACCCATCCCAATGCCTATCCCCTCAACTACTTCATTATCATCAGAAGAATAACTACTTTCTAAGCTTGCACTTAATGACCATGACTTCAGAATATGCTCCTCAAACAACTTCCCTGGCTGGGGAGAACCCAACCATAACCGTCTCTGGTAAGGGCTCTCTCAAATCAACTTGGTATGAAACGCTATTTTATAATCTGCCACCTTTTTCGTAATTGTAGCCAGTGAAAGAAGCACTTAGAGTAAGAAGCTACAACTACATAAACATCATCTTTTAACATATCAGCTAACCATGGTACAGTTACATTAGACTGCATAGAGTTGAAACTCATAACTACATGAGAGTCTTCCGGGTCCCATGGATTTTTGAATGTGTCAAACTACAAATGAGTGTTGAGTTGGTCACCACTGTCGACAAGGCCAAGACCAGCCCTTCTGTGATGTTATTTAAAAGAGGAAACCCAGGATCCCCAAGAAAAATGCAAACACATCTCCACGATGAACTTTATCCGAATAAACAGAGAACAAAAATTGGGTAGTGAAGTCTCTAAGTTTTCCAGAACTCGTATCCCAGAGATGCAAAGTTTTGTAGAGGTGTGACACGTCCAACACTGAACTGTTACGGTAACTGTTAGATTAGAATTAATATATTTTCACATGTAATAGAGATTGAATTATAATGTTTAAAATATTTTAAAACCTAATTTTTTATCTTTAAAATAATTCAAGTCCTGAATTCTAAACATGTTACTCAAGATAAATTCCTTAGTTAAAATAAAGGAAGGAGGCTCTTGTTGGTGGTGATAAATTCTTTAGTATCACATAGCTGCTTAGCAGCTAAAATTATGTATAAATTAAGGTTTTGAAAATAGTTTTATAAATTTTAATGTATAATAATTATTTTAATGCATCAAATAAAGAAAATAATTAGTTTCATTAATAAAAAGCTTAGCCAAACAAAAAACAAATGAATCTATCCGAATACCTTTACATATTGTTGATCATATCATATGTAAGTATCCTCGTACTATAATAATAAGCCATAATAACAAACAACCAAAACCAAAAGCACAAACAACTATCCATGGACTATGTTTTAGTATGATCACACACGTGAAATCTGACAGTGAGTACATACAAATAATCGAAAGTTATTTCACCTTTACAATAATCATATTCTAATTCTTGAAAACGTCATCTATGTCAAACATTTACTCTATTAATTTATTTTGTACATAAATATATAATAATTAGTGCATATAATAATTTGATGTTATCTCACAAGCATAAATATATAGACATCAATAGGTATTAATTGTCATTAACATTTATTCTTTCAAGAAATAAATTGTCTTATGCCTTTGATGGGTACTGAAAAAGTGTGGGGTTGGGAGTGTAAGAAATGGGAAATTACTATTAATTTATAAGTGTGTCTGAGGCAATTAATTAATGAAGAGTTCACCATCAGCACAGAGTGGCTATAGTTTAAAGAGTGATTTTCATTGTTAGGGCCCATTTTCATTGTTAGAATCATGAGATGATATGTTAATTAATTGGGATATGTCCTTGAGTCTGTTTGACTAATAATGGCCATCATTTGTGGATGATTGACACCTGGTTGTACCCTTAGTTGGAGGGGTAGCCAAGGTTTTGTTTATTCTCATTCCTTAAATGGAGATTAAGGTAGAGTGTGAATATAAACATGACAATTAATGAGTCCATTCATTGTTTAAGGAAACAAGATATCTTCATTGGCCACAAAATCTCTATCACGTGGGTTGTGGGCCAATGGCTAGCATAAGTTCCAAAAGGGTCTTGTTCAATCCCAATATAAAAAGGATTAGTGTTTGGGTTGAGTCCCCTTTAATGGCAAGCACTATAATTAAAGATGGCACCTGTAAGTTTCTTTAGATAAACCTTGCAAATGGGTTATACTCCTTTTTCAAGATATATAATGTCCTAAAAATGAACCTATTCTCTAAATTGCAACCTTCCATTTTGGAGTATGCACACAAAACATGGGATATTAAACTACTATTTCACAATCGTACGAACTCGATGAATGGCGTGCGTAGGGCATTATTAGCATTACAAGCTCATCAAAAATGGCTTGATACTTGTCATAATACACCCATATACATACACTACTTTCTTTAGCATTTATTGGATTGTTTTTGGATATATATATATATATATATATATATATATATATATATATATATATATATATATTAATTCCTAACCTTGAAAGTTACAAATTGATGTAACTAATAATAAGAATTTGAATTTTTTTTTAATTTTTATTGTTAAACAATTTAAAATATTTTTGACAATATATTTTAACTGACTCATAAATTTATTAAACTTAAATAGAGATATTTAAAAAAAACTAATTAATTTATTATATGAATTTAATTTAAGTATTATTTTAATGTATCATTTATTATATTTTTCACTTTTTTTAATATCTACGTTACATTATTGATTGAATTTATTTTTTTAACTATTAATATCAATTAATCTTATAAAATGTTTCAGATCCAATAATCTAACTTAATAAATTCTTAATGTTTAACTGAAAAATTCTAAATAAAAATAATTTTAGTTTTTAGTTGATTTTTTTTTAAATATGAGTTATCATTTAATCAAAGTATAAATATAAATAATAAATTTTAAGTTATATATTAAATTAATCAAATAAACTTAGACATAAAATTATAATGTTTTAGCAGTTATAGTTAATTTTTTAATATTTTTTTTAATTAATGAAATATGAGTTTTTAACTTTATATATATATATATATATATATATTTCAAAATAATATTTTTTTAATTAAAAATAAACTAAATTTTATATAATATTTTTTATATTTTACATTAATTATTAAATAAATATATTTTATTTCAGTGAAATAAGAATTAAAATTGAAACTTTATTTTATATTTTAATTTTGAAATTATGAAATAGTATTACACGTGATTTATGTACAAATTATGCTTAAATGATCAAACTTTACACGTTCACGTTTATACAATAATTATAATTAAAATCTTAATGTTTAAAATATTTCATCATCATTTTAATTTTTGTATAAATAGTTCAACTCTTATCTCTACTCATCCTATGTAATCTCAAATACAATCTTCTTCTTTCCATGTAGGGATGTATATTTGACCAAATTATCTATTTTAAATATGATTAAATTATTCTTAAAATTATTTTTTCAGTTTTAAATGGTAAAAAATTACAGATAATTTTTATAATTAATTATAATTTTATTTTCATTTTTTAATCTAAATATAAACTTTATTTAATAATAATAATAGAATTCTTTGTCTTTTAACCATATACCTAATCAAAATTTATATAATCATATATTTTATTATTTATTTAAAAAAAATACTAATTTAGATAAATATTTATTTATAAAAATTATTAATAAAAATTTCATATATGATAAAATCATAATTTATTTTTAACTATTTATATGAATAATCATTAAATTTTGACAGTATAACCATTTTTATATAAAAAATAAGATAATATATATTATATATATTTAAAATTTATATATATTATTCATAATTATTTTTAAATAATAGTAATTTTAAATATATATTTTCATATTTTATATCATACATACATGTATATTAATATATACTTCTATATATTAAAAAATAAAACCAAAATAAATTTTTATTTAAATTAAAGCAAATTTATATATAAATACATAGTTATATATAAATTATTTAATTTTAAGAGGTATCCAAATTAATGCATAATATGATATTTATTTATAAATATTAATTTATATTATTATTTTAAGAAATTAGGAAGTTGCAAACATGTCTGATATTAACGTATATGAACTTTTACTGAGAATTGTCATATACTTTTAATGAGAGGTGGGTGGGTGGAATGGATCATGTGTCTCTCATGTTTACATTGAAATATTTGTGAGCTAGTTTCATGCATCAAATTGTTCTATACTAATCTAATAAATTTATTATGTCATTAAAAAAATATAATACAAAATTTAACTTATTTAATACTACCTTATCTAACATATTTTTAATATATATATATATATATATATATATATATATATATATATATAATTTTTACAAAATGTTTAAAGTATATAATTTTTATATGAGTTATAAGATTAATAAAATAATTTGAGTTCATTTTGAAATTTTTTAGATTTTGTTTAAGAACATCATCCATTGTCTCTTAATTTTTAAATTTTTATTATTTTTATTACAACAAAGTCTTATATTTATTTTTGTTTTTTTTTACGTGTTTCTCACAATTTTAAGGCAAGTAAGATATAAATTAAAATTTTCATTTGTTGTTTTTCTTGTGAGTCAAAGTTTTGATAAGGTAAGGTCTCGAAAGAATTGAGAAGTTGATTGAGTATTTCTAACATTTATTTTACTTAAAACTTATATACTTGAAAAAGAAAACAAGGGAAACTAAATCTTTATCTTTATATTTATTTATTAGTAAAAATTTTTTTTAATAATGTATATAATAAACTAATTTTTTTAATTGAATAATTTGTTGTTGATTTCTTGAATATTTTAATTTTTTATTTGTTAAAATATCAGAAGGTAATTTTTATTTTGTAAGCTTTTTTTTTACTAACTTGTATAGATATATCTTACTGTAGTTTTCTTGAGTTATTTATTATTTTTATATTTTTTTTAACTACTATTATTTGTATTTAAATGTTTTTTGATATTATAAGGTTAATGAAAAAATAAATTGTTTATTGTGATTTTGGTATGTTTATTATCAGGGTGCTAATTAAAAAAAAAAAAAAAAGTACAACGTGAGCGTTGAATCCAAAAATATATGAATAAGATTTCCGTACTTTTATTAATAGTCTAAATCATATAGATGAAGTGATATCCATATTTTAATCATCACATTAGTACTAAACGAAAGAGATAAAACTAAGTGTATGTGGGTATTGATAGATATTACTAGATATTACATTCAAATATTAAGATTTATTGAAAATTGACGTGTGAGTTAAAATCTTATATTTATAGAAATATTTTTGGGTATATATATATATATATATATATATATATATATATATATAAATTTTATTTCTAAAATATAATTTGAATATCACTAATTTTGATGAGTGTGCAATTTTCTGTAGTTTTATGGTTTTTTATTTATTTTAATTATAATTGTAAAATTGGGTTTGTTACGCAAACTATTTTAAATATTTAAAAAATATAAAAATCTGAATAAAAAACAATGACAAAAAATTTGTTTTAGTATAGCTTTCATGAACAACAATGACAGTAATATTAATTTTAAATATTTATTTAATATTAATATTTTTAATTTGAAAGCTTGTTTTAACTATAACATATACAATTCAAGAATTAAAATGTGATTTTACTCTTTTATATATCTTTATATAAAAGTATTTTTTAATTAGATAATTTTATCTTATCCAAATTAAAATGATTTCATTAGTTGATAAAATACATAATAACATAATATCTATACTTAAAAAAAAAAAAAGTTTGCATCTCCACCTAAAAATAATCATTGTAACATAAAATGATTTAATAGTAAATATAATTTTTTTCATATGATCAAATTTTTTATTTCTCTCTAGATATATTTTTTAAAACTATTTATACAAAATTATATATATATATATATATATATATATATATTAAATATACACTATTTTAATTTAATAAAAATACAGAAACACAATCATGGAAGCTTATATGTTCTCTTAATAATAATATGTTTATCCGTATTAATTAATCTAAAGTTTTAACTGCATGAAAAAAAAATTTATACTCCTATTCAATCAATCCCACACCCAGTTCTACTTTAATATGATAATACTGCCTCTCTGTTCAACTTGCTTCTAAAATAAGCACAAAAAAATAATGATTTTCATTTTGGAAAAACAGACGAAAAAATAAAATAAAAACAACATAGCATATTTATGGATTTATTTGATTCTGTGTATAATATTTTATTGTTTTTCAACAAAAATAAAAGAATAAAAAATGGTTGAATATTTTTTCGAATAGAAACATATTTACCCTGGATGTTATTTGTCAATAATGGAAAACAAAAATAGTGAAGATCCATTTTCAAGCTTTTTGCCAAACCTAAAAGCAGGAAAAGTAAGCGCCCTCGGTTTTGGAAACCACACGTGTCACTTCCCCATACGTCATATTATTGCACATTACAGGGTCCCCACGATTCCTGGACTAAAAAACAGTACTAGGTTTCACTTTCATCCACTCTCATCTATCTCGCGTGTCACCCACTCGCTCTCTCCTTCCAACGTGTGTCCCTTGTAATCTTGTCGAGCTTTCTCAGTACAGTACCCTCGTGGATTTCATGTGATGCCAAATAGTGCGAGTAGGCTTTGTGCTATGTACTCGAGTGGGTAAACCTCGTATGCCTCACATGAAAACCACTAAAGTGCCTAGAAAACCGCTTTTAGAAGAAAAATCATAAAGGGATAGTGGTTGGGACTTTTGTCCAAATAAACCACTCTGGCTTTCCATATAAAGCATATAATAGTATCGCATCATATAACTCTCCTAGGATTAGGAACATTCATCTACGAAAATCTTGTCCTTCTTCTCCTTCTCTTCTCCCCTCTTCTCTCTCATTACAAGTCACTCCCATAATTTTCAAGTAAGTTACTTTCATTCTTCTTTGACTTTTCACTTTTTATTGGGGGTTTTTACTTTTCAAAAAAATAAAAAGAAAATTGTTCTTTATGTTTGCAATTTCATGATTGCTTTTCAACTAATTTCTTCTCATTTTCTTCATATTTCGTCTGATTAACGCTATCAGTGATCAATAACCTTGTTCTTGGCGATCTTAGTGGAGTTTGTTCACTGATCTAGCAGGTCAAAGGTGGTATCTGTGAAGGAACCCTAATATATATATTTCGACTGAAGATGGGGAGAGGGAAGATTGCGATTCGAAGGATCGACAACTCCACCAGCCGTCAAGTGACTTTCTCAAAGAGAAGAAATGGGTTGCTGAAGAAAGCTAGAGAATTATCAATTCTCTGTGATGCTGAAGTTGGATTGATGGTGTTCTCCAGCACTGGCAAGCTTTATGACTACGCAAGCACAAGGTAATATTAAGATCAATTTATTTGAAGAAAACATCTTAGCCCCTTTGCTTTAAATGATGCAAATCGATCTATAATTTTGGGTGCAATATTATTGTGTCAGTTTTTTAACACTTTGCCAATATAAAATCTCTACTATAAAGTGAATATATAAAATAATTAAATATGTACATAGATAGACGTTGATTGTGATTCTCAGACACTCCCTGGTTGGTGTCATGTTGTGCTGTAGGAAAAAACATTTTATATATCTCCCACTTGCATTTAGGAATATATCTGTGAGGTTAATTCTTTAATGCTTCCCGCTATAACTTTCTCCCTCGTATGATATTGCATAGGTTGATATAATAAGGAATATTATGCATGCGCTTCTGCATGGTACGGTGTTAGTTCATCAGTATTATCCTGATCTGCATCAATTAGTATTTCTTCAGCAAAGAAAAACTAGAATCTGCAGAATAACTTTTGATAAAACTGTCTTCTTCTCAGTATCCTCAATCTTTCTTGGCCTTCACCTTTTTGTCCCCATTGTTTTGAGTTATTAATTGCTTCCAAAGTACAACGCTGTACAGTTAATGTTCCTCATAAAGTTATGAAAATAATTCAAACAAAACCTTCCACTTCATTCTGGTATAATCAAATTACCTACTGAATAAGATAAAAAAATTACACAAGGTATTGAGGTATATACATATAACCTTAGTTTGAAATTTTCGAAGCAGTAGTTTTGTTTTTTTATGAAATTATAGTCAAATTTATATATAAAATGCACTCTAAAATTACTTATATGATAAATTACTGAAAGAAGTGTTCTTCTGGATAAGTGAGCTGCATTATATTACAATTCACGCATGCAAAGCGATGATTGTTCCACATGCGTTTTGTAAATAAAAACTACAAAGAAAAGAAACGCTACAAAAGGAGTGAGGAAACAATGGATTACCTAGAATATTAAAAACATGGGGCAATCAATTATATATAAAGTTCTTTATATATAAACCATTAGGCTATGTCTTCGTGTTATATCTCTCATACATAGGACTCAGAGTTAGCAAAATGGGTCATCTCAGAACAGCCACATATGGATGAAGATCAAGTAGAGGTAGATACATCAAAATGATCATCCCAAGTCACTGATTGAGAAGAAAATGAGCCAACAGAGTTCAGTTCCATGTAGTAACTGATGAGTTAAAAAATATGCTAACCTACCTCATACCAGTCAAGTTAGTGAATTGAAAGCCTAGCTTCAACAAGGTGTGGTTGATGTTAACTACCACCGTAGCCCTGTTGGTAAAACATTGTTACACATTTTCATCCAAATGGTATCTCGTAGGACCTGGTGGAAGTGCTTCTTGACCCCCACATTAACATTCTATAGTGGAGGATTTCCCTTCAAATGTTGTTGGTAAATTTTAAGTATGTTCAATCCTGCTTGGAGGGATATGAATCCAAATATAGAAAGGGGTTGGTCTAGATTTTTGCTAGCAGACGACAATGCTTGAAGCCTTGAAGTTCCCACACTCTCTTTTTGGAAAGATGGTTGGAGAAGATTAAAAAAACGAGGTTAAACCAAACCTAACCTAACATGGTTTAACTGGTGTGAGCGAATTTAATAGTTTACAAACCATTTTCACAAGCTGTCGTAAAGCTGATTGGTATGTTCACAACATTGGTGATGGAAGCATGTGGTTGACTGTGTCTTATCCATTGTAAAGAGACAAACTTGAAAGAATGGTAGTTGTATTTGTGAAATATATGTTATGGAGAAGGAGGATATAGGTATGTGTAGTAGTGAGTCTCCACAAGGCAAACAACCACATCAAAATCAACTAGGGTGGTCACAGAGCTGAGGTGGACAAAAGAGACCTTTAATAAGTTTTGCTGTCATGAACTCTATAAAACTATATGCTCTCAAACGAAAACATCATTAGACTGTTCTGGCTTATTAATGTGAGAAAAAGGAAGAAATCCATCATTGAAAATTCGCAATATTTGGATGCTTTCAATCAATATTCTTTATTCAATAACCTTCTTATTGTATGACATCACAAACATATCAATGGTACCAACGATTAAGAGTGAAATTAAATTATCATTTTAATGTTGTTAATACACTGCAAATTAATTACATTTGATCAAGAAAAGAAAAAATAATTGTGATTGGTTTTAGTTTTTTATTTTAATTAAAGCCAAAGAGAATCAAACAAATAATTGCTTAAGAAAAAAATAAACAAATATTGGTAGGAATATATTAATAATCCTGTCAATTCTTTACTAATGTAATCTTGTTACTTCCTAAATTCCTTTTATGCAAATTCATATGTAATTTGTCTAATGTATTTTATCTCCTATTTCTTAATAAGTAAATGTTTTATTATCATTAGGGATGACAATTAAATCCGTTCCCGTGGGGACCGACCCGTCCCTGCCCCGAATTTGACGGGAAAAACCCGAGTTGACCGGGGGCGGGGCGGGTTCGGGTTTTACCCGCTTTAAAAAGTCGGGGGCGGGGATGGGTAATGCAATCTTCACCCCGACCCCGCCCCGTCCCCGCCCGACTTTATATTTAAATTTAAATTTTAAAATATTAATATTTTAAAAGTATTTTCTTTTCTTTTTCTATTACATATAAGGTCATTTTTTTATATTTTACCAATTTTTATTTTTCTTTTACCTATTTTTTTATTTTTTTTAATCTTTTATATCAATTAATTTATTATATTATTCTCTCTTATACCTTGTAGTTTTTCATATTTTTTTAATCTCTCTCATCAATTTGTTTTTTTTTTCAATCTTTTCAATCAATTTGATGAACACAGTTAATTTTTTTATTCTTTATCTTTTTCTAAATATTTTACATAAATATTAATAGTAATTAATATTATTTTATTTATAATTTATATTTATTAGGTTTTATTATGTCATTTGTTTATCTTATTATTCTTATTTATCATATATCAAATTTTATCTTAATAAAATAATTTTATTTTAAAGGATTAAAGGAATTGATTATTTAAACTTTTATTACTTTGAATTAATTGAATAATAATTAACTTATTAAATATTTCATTATAAACTATATATTTCATATTTTTAAATTACAACTTAAAAATGAATTAACTTATATATATAATCAAATGTTTGAATACAGTATTATAATAATAATAATATTATAAATAAAAAATGATTAAATATTTCTTTTACATACATATTTTAATATAAATATAATAAATTAAAATGTATATTTAATTAATAATTATTATAAACTATAAATATTTATTTATATATAAAAAATAGATAGTAAAATTAATTTATTATAAATGTAATTATCTTTTTAAAAATAATATAGATCGGGGACTGGGAACCCGAAACCCAACGGGACTGGTATGAGAACTTAATTTCTAACTCCAGCGGGGTCGGGCGGGGACGGGGATGATTAAAATGGTCGGGGCGGGGATCGGGAGGCAAAACCCGCCCGCCCCATTGCCATGCCTAATTACCATTATGATCCCTAATTTCTTTCTTAGGCTTGCGTAATTACAAGCAAGTATTATATTCAAGAAATGCATATATCAACTCTATTCCTAATTGAAAGAAATATAAGATTTTTATAATAATACCATTCAAATTCCAATTTTTTCAATTGGAAATTCAAATTATAAATTTATTCCCAAGAGAGTCTACCTTGAGAGAAAATAAACACATCTCCCAAACTTCTAATCACGAAAAAGAAAAAATTTTAAAAATGGGATAATAATTCTAAATCAATCTTGCAAAATTAACTTATAAGATAAGATTTATTCCTCATTTATACATAATTTAGTCTTATTTTAAATCTATATAGATTTCCAACCCACTCTCTTGTATTTGTGAATGGTCCAAAATAATCTAATAGTGAATGTAGTGATAGGTTTAACAATTTCAACTATAATAGACTCTAATATTATATTATAAAATAGATGAGTTAATTTCAACTCTACAAAATTTACTTATAACATAAAATTTACACGTCACTTATATGTAATATTCAATCACATCTTTAGTCACATTGAAATTTTCAATAAAAGTTTATTAAAGTGGTGATAGAGTGAAGAGGGAACAAAAAAAGCATTGAATGGAATAAATTTTGTTGTCTTAGCATCTTCCATTACTTTGAAAAATATAAAATATAGATTTATAATATCATATCATGTTTAAGTAGTTTATAATTGATTTTATTTTAACAATCTATTTCCTTAAAAAAAAATTAAAGAACTCTTTTTTTTTTTCAATCTTTCCATTCTCTCCACGTTCATTCCTTCTCACCACCTAATTACTTATTCATTCACTGTGTTGATTATTAGAAAAATTGTCCTTCAAAATATTATTGAATAATACTTATCTTTACATGAAAGCTTTCATTAATCATGAGTTCATCAATAAATATATTTATCAACAGATCATAAAAATCTTTAGGGAATACATGATAACAATATTAAAAATATAAATTTATAAATTATTTTAATTCATGTTGTTCAACTTTCTTATTTTTATACAATATAAAACTTTCTTTATTTATAAAAATGAAAGATTAACTTTTATCTTGATACATGTTCGTAAAAATATTATCCAAGATTTGGAAAGGTTATCTATGGGGGAGAATAACAAAACTTTCATGAAGGAACATAAATTCTATACGCTGTTCATTGCAATTGTGGTGGCATATATTAAATGCAAACGAAGCATGAGGGATCTTGTAGGAAAAATTAATCTTGAAATGTGTATGATTTAGTATGTTGGGAATTATCATATCATTAATTCGTGGATTTGGGGATAAAAGAAATGAATATATTAAAGAATGTTGGTTGTTTAAAATCATGTATATTTGTATCAGTTAATTAGATAATGAGATATCAGTAAAAGAAGTTAATTAGCCTGAGAAAACGGTTAAAACAACGAAACTGATTGTCTTATTTTGTATCAGAAGATATTAATATCATCTTTAACGAAGTTATGAATTATGGAATATTGAATGTTTTTTGTTTGAACAAGAAATATGTTTTCATATCTCAAATTATTGTTCATGACATTTAGTGGTGAGAAAAACTTTGAAAACATTTAGGTTATTAAAGATATTTTATAGAGTTATTTTGAATTAAAATTTAAACTAAAAGTACGAACTTTCGTAAGAGTTAGTGAATGTAAATATTAAAGACCTATGATTAGTTGAGGCGTGCGGATAAAACTAGTTTTGATGTTTGTTTGAGATTTGTAGTAAGTTTTATTGAGTTTATAAATAGTAAAAATAGTAAAGAGGATGAGTTCAGGTATCAAAATTCTAAAGGACTAGTGATTAAGGTTCATTTACTTAAAGAAATAAAAATTTGGATAATTTAGTAGATGTAAAATTGAATCAAGTATTTTATCATTTTTAAAATGATATCAAAATCAATTTAGTGATGTTGGGATATTATATGTTAATAGTTATGAAAGAAATCAGTTATTATCAGACAGTATTAGATTACTCTTCCTTCGTAGAGTGTGATAAAAAAAAATATCTTTCATATAAGATGATGCATGAAAAATCTTTTTCAAAGGGGTGGATTGAGAAAACTCACATCGATTAGAAATACAATAATATTATATTATAATATATAGGTGAGTACAATTCTCATCTTACTGAATTAGTTTTACAAGATTGAATAAGATATGTCATCCTAATACATTTTTCACTCTAATTATCTCGCAAATCTCTATTCCTTAATAATTTTAGTATCATATTATAAAATCTATGATTAGTAGCCCTTGTATTAATTTCAATTAAGTGATGATACTTAATTCTCATAGGAGAAAGTAGAAAGAAGGTGATTGATCTCATACAAGGATTAAGCATAAGAGAAGGGATATGTAATGATGGATTCATGAAAAATCATGTCTGAGTTATCACTTTGAGAATTTTAGATATTTTTTTATCATATTAGTGTTAAGTGAACATCTATTTTTGGACCTATTTACGTAAAAGAACTTTAGATCCTAGTAAAAAAATTATGATAAGTTGTGAAGAACACAAATTCGGTATTCAAGAAAGAAGATTGGTTATCATGGAAGATAAAGCTAAAGATTGAAAATAAGTTGAGTTGAAGGGAACCCAACTCAAAGTAATTCAATATTAAAATATTTAAGTTATAATTACGGGTGTCAAAGTGAGTCAATCCGGCTCACACGGGTAGACTTACCACAAGTTGAGTTGAAAATAAGTAAGTTCAACCCGATTTATTTTGTGGCAAGTTAGAAATTTTACAACCCGACTTAATCCACCACTGATTAGTGGGTTAAGTGAGTTGATTCACTAACCTATATTTTTTTAATTTCTTAAATGATATAAATATATATATATATATATGTAATTACATTGTAAGATATTAACACAATGATACAGTTTTTAAATAAAGATTCATCAATCCAATCGTTTAAGTTATAATACAAAATCTTACCTTTGAAAGCGGTACAATGGACACGGTGGTGTAGTGGTGGGTGAATAGATGACAAGACAAGTGACTCAAGTGTAGCGATAAACGTAGTAGTGTGGTGAATAACTGATAACAAGCTTGAGTGAGAGTTTAACTTGTGGCGGCAACAACAATGTATGATAGAGGTGAGATAAAATAACATCAATTAGAGTTACTAAAATATTATAATTATTTTTAAAATTTAAAATAAATTATTAATTAGAATTAGTATGTTATTATAATTATTTTTAAAATTTAAAATTAATAGTGGATTACATGTCAACCTACCATAACCCAACTCGAAGTCTGTTTAACTTGTGAGTTAAGTGAGTCGAAATCATTTTTAGTCCATAATCACTAAAAATAAAATAAAAAATCAAATTCAATCTAATTTAAAGCCAGGTTAACTACCATGTTAAAACCCATACTCACACCCTAGTCATAACTCAACTTGAGTTTGACACGAGTTCTCTTTCTCAATTTAAACTCATTCAAGATTGTGTTAATAGGATGTCTTATTAAAATTGTCTCATCGGGTATACAAGGGACGGTTTGATTCTTTCGACAACGCCGCACGTGCCCTTGTTTCGTTGATATTTAGACAGATAAAAATATTCATTATATAATTTTGTTTATTAATATTATATTTATTAAAAGATTGGTTTAAAATAAAATTAATTAAAAATTATTATTTTATTAGTAAATAAAGTTGTTGAATGGATATTTATTGATATTAATTGTCAATTTATTTGTTCTATTAATTTTAAAGTTTCTTCAAACTTTAATGAAGTCGACAACTTTATATTATTATTATTATTATTATTATTATTATTTTGTTTTTACTTAAATTAAATTTCGGGTGCATGCTATTCTTTTTTAATCATTCCTTTAGCATTTACTAAGTTGCATCTCCTGCTTAAATCAAAAGGTTTTTTGTTCATTAATAAAATATTTTTGCATATAATAAAAGTTGAGCTGATTGTTCATTAATCTTATTTGTTAGTGAGTTGTTTTCTATCAAGAATTTTTGTCAAATGTATCAAGTTTACTAGTAAAATAAATTTTTAATAGAAGTAGTTGCTGGATGGTTGTTACAACTAAAGTAAAATAAGTATTTATACATCAATAGGTGAAATAAAAAATAAAATATAATAAATAGATGTGATGTTGTATTTCACTAAATCACCTCTCATATAAATAATTTTAAGAATTTATATATAGTTTATCATTAATATATTTAATTATTCAAATTTTACGAAATCGAACTTATATCTCTTGATTGTATTATCAGTTTTTTGATATTACAGTCAATAATCGATTATATAAATAATTTTTTTGAGAATGTCTAATAAAAATCAAACTATATCTATCATTAATTTTAATTAGATGTTTTTTTTTTCTAGATTTAAAATCCTTTTTCAATATGAATAAAATCTCAATCGAACAGGTAAGGATAACAGTCTATTACAAGCATTAAACCCTTTAAATAACAGTATAACTAAATAAAAATTTAGATAAACAAAATCATTACATTCAATCATAATAATAGAAAATTTAGTTACTCATGACTATTCTAGAAAGAAAAATCTTTTGGGTGAAAGTTGAATCTTGATGGAAACCATGAAGGTTCTTTTCCCGCCACCGCTCCAAAAACTCTTATCTCTGCACACCAAAAAAGTTAGCCAACATCTTTATTGAATATGTGAAACTGTATTGAACCCCGAAAGGAAAAAAGGTGGTTGAATTTTTTGTCAACACCAGTTGCTTAAAAACAAGAAAAACCTCATTTATACAAATTTATACATTTTTAAATAAATTTCATTTATTACTTAAGTGAGTAATATATCTACTTTTAGATTGCTGGACTAAAGCAGTACTTAATCAAATTTATAGGCAGTTTACTTATGATACTCTAATAAATTAGTTTTTATAGACAACTAAGATCCATAATTATATGATATGCGTTTAACAATAGTTTTTAATAATATGATTACACTGAATAGCTTAAAATTTTAAGGTCTCATGAGGTTCACTCCCAATATATTTTGGAAATTTTTGTTCATTTCACACTTTTAAATTTGTGTAACCCCCGGCAAGTAAAATGGGGAGGGGGAGGGGATTTGTTACTCATCTTCATAGAATGTTTTATAAAATACATGATCAACTAGCATCTCTATACCAATTTTTTTTCCCGTAGTAACACTAAATTGGTTAGTATTTGTAAACAAAAAATGAATAATGTATTTGTGATAGTAAAACCAAAATGAATTTTAAAACTTACGGTTACTTTATCTGAAGTTATATTAGACACTTTCTACAATTTGTTAAATTGTGTAACGTGTTGATCTACATCTTTTTACGGTTACTTATATATATATATATATATATATATATATATATATATATATATATATATATATATATATATATATATATATATATATATATATACACTATACTCTTGTAATGTCTGGCAGCATGAAATCTGTTATTGAGCGCTACAACAAGTTGAAAGAGGAACATCATCACCTCATGAATCCGGCTTCAGAAGAGAAGGTAACTGTGTTCAAAACTAACCGTCTCATTTGTTCTAGGCTTTTAGGCATTACGTTACATTTTCATAAACAAAGTAGTTCACAAAAGATATTTTTTATTCAGTTTCTCTCAAAGGATACCTAAACTAAAACCAGAGTTTTGTGGCCGACCACAACTCAACCCATTTATGCTTTTGATGTAAAGTCTTTTAAACATTTCCAGTAACACATCAGCAAAGCTCAAAAAGACTTAATAGTTCATTTGGTTATTATTACTAGATGCAACAAATATAGGAAGTTGTGTTTGATGTGTGAACAAAATACATAATAGAAGGTTAAGGTAGCACGCCTTTTATAGTAAAAATGGTTAACTCTAGCCCCAAGTCGTTTAGACACGAGGATGAAGGTATCACCCGGATCTCATGGGTCCATTAGATCTAAAATGGCTTCTTCTCTCATTCCATCTTTGATATAAATCTAGCTTAAAAATTATGTAGAACCAGCCAATTCACTCGATCATTCCTCTATTATAGGTATGAGAACTTTGTTGGTATGGTCATAAAGCATATAATTGTCAAAACTTCATTTCCATCATTCTTCTTTACCAGTATGACAAGACTGGTGTATGGGCTTATGCAGGGTCTAATAGTTCCATGCATCATCTCATTCACCAATTATTCAATAAGTCTGTTGATAATCTTTTCAAATGGATTGCATGTTTGTATGTACTATTCAGGGGGTTATCATGTCGAAAAGTCCCACGTTGCTTGAGACAATTTCACATAGTAACAATTAGCTTTAAGATAAAATCTAACATAATCTAAATTGCCCTATTTTGATAAGCTCGGTTGTTCTGCTATACATGTGTGGAGCAGAGGTGTTCGAAAGTCCAAAATATATCATTTAATGTCAATTAGTTTTAACCTAAAATCTGATTCCAACGGGCCTGAATGCTATAGTTGACCTTGATAGAGATGGTTCACACTAAATAGTTTATTTTTCCCACCAAATGTGATCAGTGTAGCCAAATTATGAAAATTGGCTTTCCAACCAATCTAATCTGAAAAAGAAAGAGTTTTGTATCTCCATTTTCTGTAGTTGTAGCATCAACTCTTGACACAACTCCCTGGTACTTTATTTTGCAAACATCATAAAATCAAATTGTGAGCTCGACAATCCACCATCACTACCTTCTGAATTCCCTAACATTCCCCACAATTTCAAAGACCATCTTGTAGTCAGTCCTTCGATGCTGGCTATGCACGCTGAAAGCTGATAAGCTTTCCATTGGACCTTTCCATTGCTTGATAAGCTGAACCCTTGACATTCCAAACCTTCTTCCTCAAGTAATAACATCATCTAGTATTTGTTCTTACAATCCAAAATAGGTACATATTTTTATTCACATCTGAATCATTTTCCTTGATCTAATCTCTTCCTCTAATAACTGCTCAAATACGGATTTATATTTCCTAAATATTTCCTAACTCCAACGAGACATGTTCTAGTCCATAAACCAATTAACATCCGGCTCTAATATCACTTGTTAAGTTTTTAGAAGAGGAATTTACATAAAAAAAACACAATATTAAGAACTCAACTCAAATAAGAGTGATACCAATCTCAAACCAAAACCCTTAAAGATACTAGATTATGAGTCTTTCTTTTATGTTGCTAAACTTTATCATTTTTATACTGAGACTTAAACTCATGTTTATATTTCCTACCATGGTCCACGTGAATGCATCTTCTGCCAAGCTCATGGAATCCTCGTTCTGAGATTTGACATTCTGCCTTTGTATGATGCCCGCTCTCTACAATTTAGATTCTTCTTCATCAAGCACATCAATTATTCAACCATTTCCTCTACTTCCTTTAGTCGGACCTCTTGCACCTTGCAGTGGATCTGTCGCTCCTTCCTTTCTTGCCCTGATATGCCTACTTCCTCCCCTCTTTCCTTCCAGCAGATCTCCAAGCATCTTTCCACCTTGTGCCCATTTCTCATACCAACATCAATGCTTCTAATTTTTACTTGTTTGCAATACCCATAGGTCCGTAATGAAGCTTTCATACCAATTGCTAGGACTCGATCAGAATGGTGAAGAAAATAATGAATCGTTATTGGTGAACCCCAGTTCACAAACCTGCCCCAAAAATAAGACTTTCCCCCTCTGTTTTGACAAATTACTCTTAAAAATGTAAAAATATCTAACTCAACTATATATTATAATATTATATAATATTATTGTAATTATATCACCCTTTCTCATCTCAAATAAAATTTTCAATAACATTGTTATAATTGACTTTATACGATCTTAAAAATAGAAAGATACATAATTTAATTATATAAAATTGGCTCTATAAAATTAAAATTATCCTTTCCTATATATTATATATTATAATATGTGAAAAGATACATAATTTAATGGTACAAAACCGACTCTATAAAGTTAAAATTAAGAAATTAATAAATGGTCCAAGAAATATACAAACCAACATAAGTGAGGTTACTGACAGATAACATAACGAGGCTAGGACAAACAAAACTACATACAACAAAATAATAATGTAAAGGGCCAAATTAGCAATAATTTTAGTATTAAAAGAATCCTCACCTTTGTTCTCAAATCTAACGTTACTACGTTAGTCCTCAAATTGTCTACCCTACATTTCTTTCATTTAAAATAATTTCCTTAAGTAATAACAACTGTTTAATTGATATATGCATTTCTTCTTGTTAGTTTTGGCAGACAGAAGCAGCAAGCTTGAGGCAACAGCTTCAGTACTTACAAGAATGCCACAGGTAAAAAATAAATAAATTAGTATCCATCAATTGCATAAATGTACCATAAGCAAGCCAGAGATATAGAATCGAGATTATTATTTTATTTGTGTTGACTCCAGTGAAGAGATATAGAAGTAACCAAGAAATGGATATCTATCAACCATCAATTTAAATTAATTACATGACACTTTTTTAATTGCTCAGTAGATATGTCTTTACCTTCTCACTTTACACATCCAAATCCTACATCACCCCCTATTCGGAAGAAAAAGAATATCGAGGGCATAAAATAGGAAAAAGAAAATGGCAAAATTTATCATCCACCATTCTCACTCTCCACTAAAACATCCAAAAAGGAAAAATGAATCCATCTTTACTTCATGTTTTCCCCTCCAAGCTTTTCCAGAGAATGAAATTAAAATATATTAACAAGTAATTTATATATTTGATATTTGTTAGTATGCCAATATGTCAATGTCAAACGCTTAAAGGCAATTTATATATTTGTTATTTGTAAGAAATGAAGATGTTATACAAGACCCAAAATGCTGATTCAATAGCTCATCACCGGAAATAATCCTGTGGTAAATCAAACAATTTTGTTCTGCAGACTCTGTAGTGTTTTATATTAGTTAACCATATAATGACGTCTTGAAAAACTTATTCTAGAAACTTACTATATGTTTTCTGTTGAGAGATAAACCACCATAATATTGAGAAAGCATTTAATTTTTTTCTTCTTTTGGCAATAGCAGGCAATTAATGGGTGAAGAACTTACGGGTTTGGGTATTAAGGAACTACAAAATCTGGAAAACCAGCTGGAGATGAGTCTAAAGGGTGTTCGCATAAAAAAGGTATCATGTGTCAATTCAAATTAGACCTCTTCCCTTTAAGATCCCATCCCTCTATGGAACATTTATAACTTACATTATGATAATATTTCCCTCCAGGATCAAATTTTAACTAGTGAGATTAAAGAACTGCGCCAAAAGGTTTTCAGGAGTCTGGTTTTATTCTTGCCTATATAGACTAAGGTTTTCCCAAAACATTCTGACAATTGTCTAATGCCATTGTAGGGAAATCTCATTCATCAGGAAAATGTTGAACTCTATCAAAAGATGGACCAGATCCAAAAAGAAAATGCAGAGCTAAAGAAGAAGGTAAATGATCCAGCACATTCTATAATTCAAAAATCTATTATTTAATTTTGATAAACGCACATGCATGCCTAAGCTGAATAGAGGCTTGTACAATGAAAAGGTCCAGCACATACACAGGCACTTCACATGGATAGGGCCATATCAAACAGATTTCACTGGTTTATTGAGCTTAATTCTATTCATATAGAAGCTAAAGGCATAAAGTTTCCTTTATCTAAACCTAAACAGAATATTTGGATGTTAGGTTTATGGAGTAAGGAGTACAGGTGAAGAAAATGTGGCATCCAGTCCTTACATGGTCAGAAATGGATATGATTTACATGCACCTATCAGTCTCCAGCTAAGTCAGCCACAGACTCAATACAGTGAACCATCAGCCAAGGCAATGAAACTCGGGTATTCCCTCAAACTATATATCAAGTAAATAATTTTTATTTCTAATTTCAGAAGACACTAAACCCCTATTCTATGTACCAGATTGCAGCTGCATTAGCAAATAATTGTTCAATAATCGGTGAGGGTTGCCATTTTGTGAGAAGAAGCCAACGATGCTACAACTACTCCCTGGAATGATCAGACTTCTGCGAGTTGGGTCTTGTAGTTCCTCAACCACATTTGTTCCATTCAACAGTACAATGCATGTATGGTATGAGATTATCTATCAAGAAGCTTATGATTGCTGTTAAGGATTAGACCTAATGATTGCCTTTGTAAAGTTTAAGCAATAAAAGTATCAACAATTGAGCCTAGGGTGTTGTTTTCTATGATTTCTAAATCCATATTTCGTGATCAGTTAAAACAAATTCATAACACCACCACCTGCGCCTATACATTTAATAAGTAATCCACAACCCATTGGAAGCTATGTAGGTCAGACTGTTACGACAGAGTTATTGTTTTCCGCTCTAGTAAACGACAAATAACAAATAACCATGACTTATGATTCTTCAGAATGAATTATAGGGAAGTATTGTTAACCAAGAGGTAATCACTACCCTCAAATCATTTAAAACCAATACATTCTGAACAAACAAAAGCCTGCTTCATACATATCTTACACATGAAGTAGAAACACAAACTTATCCACCAGATAATCGGAAAAAAGTTCAACTTTGGAGAAGCACACCTAAATTAACAATGAAATAGTTAGAGCATCTGAATATTCTGACCAAGTTGATAGTCAGTTATAAACATGCATAATGAAGCTCACTCAACAAACAGATAGGGAAAAGCTGGAAGCCTGCAAAATATATATATTCTGTTGAAGTTCATTTGTACAAAATTAACAATAAAAGCGGTCATATTTATTCATTCCATTGTCCAACAAATAGACACCGCCTATGGTAAATCATCATTTCTGACTCATCCAATTAATCCTGACAACAGTCGGTATGAATGTAAGATTTAGAAAAGTTGAAACAATAATAAAAAAACTCAGAATACAAACTACAAGACTATGGAAACCTTATGGCTGATAGCACATAATTCTAACTTTCCCAAACTAACAAATTCTCATCATTGTACATGCAACATCTAAGATTCTGCATATAATGTTAATCACCTACCCACATGTCAAGTGGTAGACTGTATCTCCTTATCATTCCTGTCAAATTCCATACCAAAAGGGTAAAACTAATCATAGTGCATAATGTAACTGAAAAGAGCAATGCAAGACATGCTACAGCACTTACAACTTTTGTGAATTATTAGTACATAAAACCAGTATGAGATTGCCAAGAATAACAAAAAAGGAGCTTTTTATTGCAGATGCTTCAATCATGCAACAGAATAATCTGAAGAGATATTAAAGTCTAGGAACATATTATAAAGAATCATCCATGGATTAATACAAGTTAATGCAAGTTCAAGCAGGAGCAGACATTAGGCCAAATAAAAGACTTAACAAAAGGAAGCTTATAACATGAGGAAAACCCATCTTTTTATAAACCAATCCGCATCACCAAACAAGATTGTCAAATCACAATCCTCAAAGTCATAAAATAACTTTGTTAAAGTTACTTTTGTGACCTAAATTGACATCTCATACAGGAATAACAAAAATAAACTATTGCTTTGTGCCAGTCATGTAACAGTTTGACACAAACATTGACAGTTGATGCAAATGCATAAACTGTTCATAATTATATCACGGGATATACTTTAGTGTACTGATTAATGTATGGCTGGGTTTTTCCACCCAGCGGCCACCCAGTGAACATGGTCAATAATGTGCACAAATATAGTTATTATTTCACAAGTGGCCCAAAAGTAAAAGACATGATTGTATACAATTACCAATGTGATTAACACTAACAACCATTAGGCATTTCAATAACGTTACATGATACTATTAACTACTAGTGAGACAAGGATAACCTATACTGGACATTTCAATAACCACTAGAGTTTATTTCTCTACAGGTAAAGCAAATGAATTCAAGATAAGGCACAAAGCCGTCTTAACATTAATTGGTTCTTAATAGTCGAGTAACTACTGTACTTCGTGACATTCATGATAGGCCACAGATCCTATCCTCTCTCTAATTTCTAATACTCTCACTTTTCTCTCATGTTGTCCCTTTAAATTCCAATCATTATTATATGGGATATGGGATAGACAACCGCATATCAGTACAATAAAACTTGCCTTCCAGTTTAGTAAGTACTTTGCAATCACAAATAACTTTCAATGTCTTTCTCCATTTTAGTCATCCCACTTGAACCTTATGTGTAACAACCCCCTTAGTTTCTCTATCATTTTGTATTACTGATCCTAGATATTTAAACTTGGAAAAATGTGGCATAACATTTTTTCCCATCTTTACTTCCAATACATATTCCTTGTCTCGTGCAAAAAAATTGCAATGCATACGTTGTCTTACACCTACTTAATTGGAAACCCTTTGTTTCCAATGTTGTCTCAAAGTTCAAGTTTGATATTAATTGATTTCCTTGATTCCTCCGTCAAGACTATTTCATCCACAAAAAACATGCAATTAGGGAAAATCTTTTGCTATGTTCCTATTAAACTATATTAAATAAGTAAGGGGTTAAGGCTGAGACTTTATGTAATCATATCATTACAAGAAACTCTGTAGTCTTTCCACTTAGAATTCTCACACTAATAGTTACCCACTTAGAATTCTCACACTAAAAGGAAATGGCAATCAATACATTTGAAAGTAGTCTCACGTTTCTTATAGTTAGGACCAAAAAAATGTATACCTTTGTTTCTTATATATAAGAATGGAGGTAGTAGTATTACCCAATCTTGGTCCATCATTGAAAACATAAAAAGATAATTCTCCATATCTCTGGCATCATGATCTCTGACAAAAACTTACGCTTTAGCTTTAATGCATCTTACATTGTCTAAATCTCTGATCCTCTTTTATTGTTGGCAAGCTTATATTTCTCATGTTCTCCATTCTTCATCATGAGGTCCTAGTAAAACTCATCAAAGGCCTCATATCGTGCTTCACTCAAATTTTCTTGTTTAATTCCTAGTATTATGACACCTTTCAAATTTTTAGTATTATTGCACCCATTGAAAATTTTAAAGCATTCTCTTTTATTTCCAACCTTGTCATGAACATTTTTGTCCGACCATCACCAAGATTTCTTATCTCTTGGCCCAAAATCTTTTGATTCACCCAAAACTTTTGTTTCTCATAGGAAAAGCCCAACTATTATTTCTCTGAGAATTTAAGGATGAAGAATATAAAATTGTTGAATTACTTCAAAATTTTATTTTTCATGGTTCCTACTAATTTTGTCACGCAAATTTTATCAACTAGGATATTGTACATTCCAAGGTGGTGTGATTTAGGTGCCTATAATTGATCGAAAAAATTAAATTAAATTGTGATGATTGAAATCAAAATGATGAAGTTGTACAATTATTCCGGATTTTGGATTATTTCTTCATTTCAAAACAAGTTCCCAAAAGAGAAAGTATCAATTTTACAAAGTACATTATTTTGTATTTTACATTTATATTTCCTATTTGTACCCATAAATACAGAATAGAAAAAATGAAGTTATGATTGTTTTTCTTTCATATCCACTTTATTTATTATGCTATCACTCACAGTCTATGTCTCACCTCATTCTTTCTTTTTCCTCTGGGATTCTCAAGTTGCAGAGTAAATAATAATGCAACTTACAAATTTTTCCCAGAATTTCACCTTTTAGGTCCCTCCATTTTGAGTGGCAGCTAGTATTTTGATTAAACTTCAGTATAATGAAGCTATTGACATAGCATTCATCATCTTCTCTCTTTTTTTCTTACGTACAATTCATTATATTTAATATGTTTGTTTAGAGAACCCATGATAGCTACACTATTTATACATTGGACACTGTTTGACGAATCTTAGCTACATCAATTAAGTGATTGTATCTCTTAAAGATTTTGATAACATAAAGAAACTCTGTTGAATTTCATTAAATTAACAATTTGTTAAAATATGTGATTCCAGTTTAGTGCTTTCAGTAAGCTTGTGAGGCTAAAGGCAATTGCACCGTCATGGCCATAGAGAGGGTCATAACACAAGCAGCATAATATATCATAATATTTTAAAACATTTACAATGCAAGAGTTTTCTAAGAATAGCTTAGAGTCTTATTCTACTTTAAACGAGTTTTATTTCTTCACATCACTTCAAGGCAACTCAAACTATAATTTTACAAATTTTGCTCCAATAGTAAAATATTCTAAGAACGATAGTTATAAAACCTGCATTGGCCCCTATGAGACTTTGCAACCAGATAAGGTCAAAATGATGTTCAGATCAACAATATATTCGATCCGGGTCGACAAACCATGTTGATAAAAAAACTAATAACCTGATCTGTTAAGATATATATAAATATATTTTGTCATTGTATTTTAGGTAAGAATATATTTAGTTTATAATTAGTTTCCTAACTAAATGTCTGATATTATTAATTACCTAATTAGTTTCCTAAGATTTCGACTTGTATTTATTCCAAGTCAATGAATGAGATCAATTGAGGAAAATATTCTTTTATGGTATCAATTCTTTGTTCCCCTTCATCTACTTTTTCTTCTCACCGTTATGACGGACAAGAGTTCTTTCCATCCGGCTCTTGCGGTTTCCAATATACAGAATCATATTTTCATCAATCTTGAGATGGAGAATGTCCAATACTCTACATGGGCGGAACTTTTTAAAACTACCGCACGTTCTCATAAGGTCTTTCATCACATTATTCATCTTGCCAATGGCAATGAGAAGGTACCTGTGACTGAGGATGAAAATGAATTATGGTCGACTCTTGATGCTACGGTTCTTTCCTGGCTTTATGCAACCATCTTCAATAACCTGTCGCATACAATTATTGAACCCGATGTCACGGTCATGGATGCTTGGAATAGGTTGAGAGATATTTCCAAGACAACAAACCTTCCCGTGTGGTAACCCTTGAGGCCGAATTCTCCACTACTAAGATGGAGAATTTTTCGCATGC